AAACGATTATTATATTTCACCTGTTGACGGACAACACACTGACAAAAAAAAATGTTTTTCATAATTTTTCCAAAGTAGGTTTTCTAAGCAGAAGCAAAAAATAGTAGGTAACCGACATAATTGTTAATATTTCACAATCTGATGCACGCATACCTATATGTAGGTATACATCTTGTGACATCGGACATTAAGTCAGTTGTTAGACACGACTATCAGACCAAAACGTGAAGCTATGTAATAAACACCCGTACAGCTGCTGCTTCTTGCACGTTAAAGATGTTTCAGTTATAAAAAAAAAACTTTACAATTACTACAATTATTCTCAGAACGAAGCTTTTGTTAAAAAAAATCATTTGAACCGTTTTTTAACCACCACATAATTATTTGCAACTTATAATAATATGTTATTTTTAAACCATTAATACTTGGTACATAAACCAAAAAGAATAATCAGAAATATTAATAATAATGTATACACCGCATACTATAAGTGTGTATACTAAATGCATTAATGTGCTATTTATAAATCTATTATTAAACGCCTATTGTAAATGTGCTAGTGGCAATGAGTATAGTAAAATTGTAATTAAATAAATAAATAATAATAACAATAGTAGTTATTATTATACATAAATTGTATTTATTATATATAATCAAAACATATGTTATAATATGATATTGAAACAATAAATCAGATATAAATTGAAACAAATTATAATAATAATGATAAAAATCATACTAGCGTGTATACTTAATGCATTAATGTGCTATTTATAAATCAATTATTAAATGCTTATTGTAAATATACTATTAACATTAAGTATAGTAAAATTATTTTAGTATAATATTTTATATAAAATTATATTTAAATAAATACAAATAATAATAATAGTAATTATTAATATACACAAATTGTATTTATTGTATATAATCAAAACATATATTATAATATGATATTGAAATAATAAATCAAATATAGATTGAAACAAATAATAATAATAAATATCAAATCAAGTTTTAAATTACTTAACTATTTCGAACTTAAAGCAATAGTTTTCTTAAATTAAATACTATTTTGTCATACTAAACAAGTTATTTGTTTGTTTTTTTTATAATTCAAATATACATTATTATTTAAATTATGTGTGGTTTTTTTAATGATATGCAAAAGTTTCGATATTTTTTATTTTATTACAAAATCCTTCGTCTAATAATTTTGAGTGAATGTTAAATACATGTACATAGTTTAAGACTAACGTAACCTAACCTTACTGAACTAACCTAACCTAACATTACACTTATGAAAAATAACATTTTCAAGTCACAGCTATAAAGACATTGATAGAAGCTTTTCAAAGGTGTTAATAACATTTATTGAACAATTATACCTGATACTTAAAGAAGATATTTTTTTTTTTTAATTTAATTGTTTCGACGTTTATTTCATATTTTGCTTAAACAAAAAAACGTCCATCCAACTTTTGTTATACTCCTTGACATCTAGGTCATTGACGCGGTTGCGGCTAATTTTATTAAAAAAACAAAATCATAAAACAATATAACTGTAATAAAAAAAAAAATTGTAAAAATTGTAAAGCCGGGCCTTTGGGTGTTAAATAAAATTCAAGCACACGGATACTTAAATATCAGGTGTTAATGGTTATAGTAAAAAAAATTTATTGTAAATAAATAAAAAAAGCGAAGGGCAGATGTCGTTTGTGCTTATTACCTAACCGTATAGTGCTTTTTATTAAGGACGTACAATATTTTTTGACTGTAAACAAATTTTTATAATTTATAGTTTAAAACATTTTGTAACACCGTTTTGTAATAATTGTGTTGCGCCTACGTTGCGTTCAGAGGCCTTTATTTAACGATCCATAAACCATATTTGTGTTACAATCGTTCATTAATCATGACCACAAAACCGATCTTCACCGAACCATTCAGTGAACTTACTCACACACACACTATAACAACACTCCACCCGTGTGTATAATTATTACAGTATAATGTTATATAATGATACACCTATCTATATTGTAGGGTACGTGACGAAATAATCACCTGTGGTATTTTAATTGTCTAAAAAAAAAATATCCTGTCTGGTTAGGCGGCGATTAAGATTAATTGTTAAGTGTGAGAATTCAAAAAAAAAACGAACCACAAATAAAAATTGTCACGCCATTTTTTAAACTGAATTTAATGTGTGTATAATTTTAGGTTAGGTTTCTAAAAGCAGCTACTCGAGCGCCCTAATAATATTATATTAAATGTGCTATTAACAATAAGTACAGTCAAATTATAATATATTATTTTGTATAAAATTAATTTCAAACAAATAAAAATAATAACTACAATAGTAATTATTGTACATAAATTGGATTTATTATATATAATCAGAACATATATTATAATATGAAATTGTTACGATAAATCAATTGTGGATTAAAACAAATAATAATAATAATAATAATAATAATAAAAAAAATATCATACTAGTGTGTATACTAAATGCATTAATGTGCTATTTATAAATCTATTATTAAATGCCTATTGTAAATATGCTATTAACAATAAGTATAGTGAAATTATTATAATATAATATTTTATATAAAACTATATTTAAATAAATAAATAATATTAATAATAACAATAGTAATTATTGTTATACACAAATTGTACTTATTAAATATAATCAAAACATATATTATAATATGATATTGAAACAATAAATCAAATATAGATTGAAACATATAATAATAATAATGAATATCAAATCAAGTTTTCAAATCTTAACTATTTCGAACTTAAAACAATAGTTTTCTTTAATTAAATATTATTTTATCATACTAAACTGGTTGTTTGCAAAACGTCTAACGACTTACATTAGCTTTGAGATAATTTTAAATTTATATTTTTGTTTTTACCGGTAAATATTTTTAAAATATCAGCACTAGAAAAATGATGACTTGACATGTTTTTCTGACAACAACGCGAGTTTGCTTTTCGTGTCTTATCCAGTATCAAAACGGCTACGAATAATAATATAATAGTACTATAATTGATTTCAATTGGAAAACAACTTAATATTATACAAGTGACCTCAATAATAATAATAAAAAAAAAACACCGGCTATTATGATGGTATTCACTCCGGAACGGTTTTTTTTCTTATGAGAAAATAGCACAACGATACAAATTGTTGAAATACATAAATGAGCCATGCCAAATGTGACTATATCAATGACAAAAACCAAAAATATCAGCGATTTTCAGGAGGGTTATATTTAATAAACACCCGTTTTTGAGTTGATAAAATACTTGATCATCTTAGTTTATACATACTATCTAAAAGCATTGTTTCTAATTTGATGATACAAATTGAATTGGTTATTCAACGAATGTTAACTCCTAAAAACATAACAAGATTACAAGATTATTATTGACAGAAACCATCCTACAAGGATCCGTTTGAACCTAAGCAACTCAATTCTTTTAAAATAATTGCAATTTTTCTTTTTGAAAGCTTTTTTATTTATGTTAATTTGAAATGTTTTACAACCAATTAACGATAATTTGCTGAAAATATTGACTGGTAGCTACCAACGGTTTTGACAATAGTCGTTAAGGAAAACCAAGATCAATAATTATTATAATCTAGTTTATCTAGTACTGCTTGATATTAAGTATATCATTATGTTTATTAACAATAACAACTACTGTAGTGGTTTTTTTTTCAAATAATTTATTATACCTTTAATTTATTTTCGAAGCAATTAAATCAAATCGATTACATTCGTCGTAAATAAACATTGAAATAATAAAATTAAAAAAAAACAATTCTTCTTTAGTTATTAGGCATAATTGTTCAATAAAATTTGATATTAACATTTTTGAAACGCTTATATCAATGTCTTTATAGCTGTGACTTGTAAAATGTTATTCTCCATCAGTGCAATGTTAGGTTAGTTCAGTAAGGTTAGGTTAGTTTAGCCTTAAACCATGCTTTCAAAATTATTGGACGAAGGATTTTGTAATAAAATAAAAAAATATCGAAACTTTTGCATGTCATTAAAATAAAACAAATAAATAAAATAATAAAATACATTGGAATTATAAAAAAAAACAAATAACCAGTTTAGTATGATAAAATAGTATTTAATTTTAGAAAACTATTGTTTTAAGTTCGAAATAATTAAGTATTTGAAACTTGATTTGATATTTATTATTATTATTGTTTGTTTCAATCTATATTTGATTTATTGTATCACTATCATATTATAATATATGTTTTGATTATATATAATAAATAAAATTTGTGTATAATAACTATTGTTATTATTATTTTTTATTTATTTAAATACATTTTATACAAAATATTATATTATAATAATTTTACTATCCTTATTGTTAATAGCATATTTACAATAGGCATTTAATAAAAGATTTATAAACAGCACATTAATGCATTTAGTATACACACTAGTATGATATTTATTATTATTATTTGTTTGAATCAATATTTGATTTATTGTATCACTATCATTTTATAATATGTGTTTTGATTATATATAATAAATCCAATTTGTGTATAATAATAATTACTATTGTTATTATTTTTTTAATTTATTTAAATAGTATTTTACATAAAACATTAAGTTATAATTTTACTAAACTTAAAAAAAAACCAAATTAATCTTTCTTGATATTAGTATATATATATATATATATATATATATATATCACTATGTTTATGAACAATAAGAACTACTGTATCGGATTTTTTTCTTCAAATAATTGATTACACCTTTAATTTATTATCCAAGCAATTAAATCAAATCGATTACACCATTCGGTTTCACGCATTAAAAGGTATCGAATGGATACAACTCATTCATTTGACATTTTTATATAGTGTTTTTTTTTACATACTTATTATTAATAATTAATGTATATTTTGCGGTTTTTAATAATCTACGGTTATTGGTGTGTTCCAGGTCGATTAGCAGTAATTATAGTCGGCCTTGTGGCTCTAATAGCTGGATTGATACTATCTTCCGTTCCTTGGGTTCATTATGTAATACTAAAGGTATGTATTAACGGTTTTGTTACAAAAATTAATTTATATATATATATATATATATATATATATTTTTTTTTTTTTAATAATAATTTGTTCGCCAACGTAAGTATTTTACATAATTAGCATTTTACATTATTTGCCATTAGAACAAAAACCCGAACATTGTGCTATTTAGTACAGAATTATCTTGGCGCAAACATTTATTCAAAACTTATGTACATTTGGTTGCATAATAGTTTAGTTCCTTCGAGAGAGACTGTGTAGTCAATATATTAGCTGCACACTATACTCGTTCAAGTGATACTTTTTACACATATTCACAATAATTGCGCAGGGTAATTATGTTATAAACATGTTGGTCGATCGCAGTGAAGGCACAAGACCTTCATATTTCATTGATGTTTTTTTTTTAAATATGTATAACATTATAAATGTGTAAAATATTTCAACTTTTATAAATTGTATTTATTGTACACAAAAAAAAAGTGCGCTGTTCGATAGGTTCATGAACCTGAAAAAAAAAACAATTAGGTCGACCGACAAGTATGCTAATTATTACATTAGGTTTAATGAGAGAAATTTGTTTTGTAACACCAATAAACTACAACCGATGGTACCTTTACATCGATTGTACCTATTGGAAATAATATTAATTTGATGTAATAATAATAATAAGAATAATGAAAGAAACAAATTCCTTTCAGAACTTGAAACTATGGAACGGTACGCTAAGTTATCACTACTGGCAAAAGCCCGGCGTGTTAAGACTGACAAAGGTGTTCATATTCAACGTGACCAATCCAGACGGGTTTCTGCACAACGGTGAAAAACCAAAACTCCAAGAAGTCGGCCCGTTCGTCTACAGGTAAGTTTTTCTAACAGCCATGACTTGCTTGTAAACTTGGTTAGGTTAGGTTAAGTTAGGTTAGGTTAGGTTAGGTTGGGTTGGGTTAGGTTGGGTTAGGTTTATCCCACTTTGGTGACATCAAATTTGTCGTTTTGACTTGCAGCAAATTTTTAAACTTTAAGTAAAAGAAAAAAAGTGTCTTAGTGTCTTTGTGTCTATTTCTTAACCTTCTGACCAAGCAAGTTACTTAAAACGACCATTACGGTATGACGACGCATCAAGTTAACGAGTCGATCACTTTTGATCGTCACAAATAACTGCGATGACCAATTAATTATTTTTGTTGTAATTCGCCAAAGCAATTTTCCGGTAAAAATTCGCCTTTATGCACATAATGCACTGAGCGAAGCCATTAAGACCAAACGTGCCTCGCCGCGTTATTCAAATTATTGTTTAAAATGCATACGGCACAATGCATACGGATGATGATTATTAAAAAAAAAAAAAAGAAATTCATAGTTGAAATCAGATAAAATGCTTTTTTAGTATGTACATGAACAATAATTGGCGAATTGTACATTTATCATTGTCAGTTCATCGTTCGTTTCCGCACGAGTAGCAGACTTTTTGTTTTTAACAATAAAAGAAGTGCACCTACTTTATGTCGCAGAGGCTACATTATATATTAACTAGGTACCACTCATAATGTAATATTATGTACCTATTTAACTACAAGGATGAATATAATGGCGCACAACAGCGTTATTATGCTGCTGGTAAAAACTTTATTGTCAAACCACTGAAACAAAATTAACTAGTTTTCCAAATCGATATTCCACCTTTTTGCATTTTGGCACGGAAGAAGGGCTAAAATCATTTTAATGGGTTTCATTCAACATCGAGTTGATCTAGTACCAACTTAATATAACTTAACTTTCAGGTTGATAACCTAAACCCAATCTAATGGACGAAATCGAAGTTATTTGGAAAACAATTTTTTAATTTATTTTTCACAATACATTATATTATTAATCCTTAACTTGGCAGACCTCGAAAATCACTATTGAAAATTATTCGGTTGACTATATTAGACTAGTTTAAGGTCGCTGAATTAAAAAAAAAAAAAATTACATTTCCTGCTTATTTACCAATCATGTGTACAAAACATATGTAAAACTACTTTTAAACATTTCCTTCATTCAATTGTTATCTAATATTATAAAACTACCTTATTGGTTTTATTTTTTTTAACTAATTGAGTAAAATCTCGGTTTTGTAATAAATAAATAAATTTAAAAAAAACTTTTTCTAAATTATTTAATTTATAATACTAAATAAGATAATATAAAAATATTTAATTATACTATAACTATATGAACTACTGCATGAATTTTTTTATTTTTTATGATAAAATTAGGAATGATTAATATTACAATACAAATATATATGCCATTATAATGTGTTTACTGCATTCTATCGATATAAAAAAAAACATGCTTTTCTAAAAAATAGTAAAAAAAGGACTAAAAAGTTAAAAATAATAATACTACAAGAACAATATACCAATCAGTTGTAGCACATCTTATTTAAAATGTCACAATACATTATATTATTAATCCTTAACTTCGCAGACCTCGAAAATCACTATTGAAAATTACTCGGTTGACCGATAATTCAATTACTTTGAAAATTAACTAAAATTTTAAACAATGTTAAACATTAATAATTTTTGACTAAGTAGAAAACAAAGTCCCTCATAAATTTATCAGAATAATGTTTCATGTTGTAAGTTTTTTTGCAATTTAAATTTGGTTCTACGTGTGACACATACATTTCATAATTCTTAACTCTGAGTGAATGTGGACTTTGTGAGATCATTGCTCCAGTGGGGAGTGCACCATCTCGGTTTTATCTGACCTCAGGTGTATTATCCCAGGATGTTGTCTAACTATTGTCGACGGTCTATTATATTATGGGTAATTATTATAATACCCGCAATAGTGTTATTACCCTTTTTCGGAATCGGTCGAACGCAACGGCACGCGTGTTGCCAATGGGAAGGTCATCAAGGACGTTTGGTATATAGGGCGCCGTTTCACGGTTTATGGTCATTTTGTGCTATGGTGGTCCACGAGACGACTCTCTACACAGTTTTGTAATTCGCCGGCGACAAGATCTTCATTGTGCAATCCGCATAGCACAGCTATATACCTAACTACAATATGTACACACACACTCACAGAATATCATACAGCGTTCCAAGCGTTTCCAGTTGCAACGATAATGTGAATCTCTGTAGATCAGCAACACGATTTGAACCGACTTAGTTGGCCAGAAAGTTTAGATGAAAATACAAAATACCTTATCAAAATGTTCAGTAAATCAAACGCATACATTTAAGTTTCAAAAGTTACCCTTATTAAAATGTAATGAACCAATCTCAAGGTTCCCTATACTATGTTACGGAACAACGAAACATCTATGGGTTCAATATAAAACCTCAAATGAACGTTTATAATAATTCTGGGTTCTGGCAGGAAAAGAAAACCGTTAAATTATTATTAGTCCAGGCAAATCAGAAGAATAGCAGAAAGAATTCTGGAAAGCTGAATTTTGGTATACACCTAAAGTGAGAGATCCTTAGTAACATACTAAAAGTCCCCTAAAATTGGATGCTTGCTAGCTTGGCTCTTTGTGTCAACAAAATTAGTTTTTTGCAAATAACTCGTTAATTTTTAAGATTACAAAAAAAAATATTTATATACTTTAATGTAGACGAGGTAATTATCTATAAAAAAAAGTTTTTATAAATATTTTTGTGGGAACAATATTTACTTAGATAATTACAGTTCACACATGTAATTTATTATCAAAGTATTGGAAACTTGTATTATTTGTGTATTGGATATAAATAAGTGCGCAATGTGTTATGGTCTGTTTTTATTTGAATTGTAAAATGCTTTAGTTGAGTTTATTAAATAAGGCCGCTTATTAATGAGTTTAAAGCACTGCACTTTTACTTTTCTTTAAATCCTTCTCTCATTTTTACCTTTTCCAAGTTTAACAATAAAAAAATTATTGGTAGTAGGGAGCCACACCTACTTAAATAATTAACAGATCAATATATTCACCAAATACTATTACTTTTTCATTAAACAATGATAAATCTATGGCGGTGTTTTCAAAAATAACTTTATAGCATGCAAATTAACCTTGTTTTTTTGTTTTGTTTGTTAAATAATAATAATAATAGGTATTCTATTGATTCAGTTCATATAATATCAAAACAGACAATAACATAATGCACACTTATTTATATCCAATAGAAATACAAGTTTCCAATACTTTGATGTGTGATTACTAAGTAAATAATGTTCCCACAAAAAAAATTATAAAAACATTTTTTACGGATAATTACCTCGTCTACAATAAAGTATAAAAGTATTTACCTTTTAATCTTAAAAAATAACGAGTTATTTGCGAAAAACTGTCACAAAGCGCGGAGCTAGCAGGCATGCAAACTTAGGGGACTTTTAGTATGTCACCAAGGACCCTTCAACTAATGTGTATACCAAAATTCAGCTTTCCAGCGTTTTTTACCACTTGCCAGGTTATAATACCAGATGATACAATTTGAAGAATAAATACTGTACATGGACGGCTGGGAGCCTCTGGCAGCTAGTTTATATAATTAATTATGGTCACGGTAATGGGGAGATTTTCATATCAGGTTTAAAGAATTGAGTTGGCAACGCTGTAGCCGTTTGTTTACATGCGATAACGGATTGTTCACCTCCGAAATTCGCAGAAACAAGGGAAACCTTGGCGGGAAGTGAAAAAACCGTCTTGTAAACGTTTTTCCGTTCGATGAAAGATAAAGATGATATCCCGATAAATCCGCTCGTGTCTATATTATAACCGACATGGCTATTCGCCCTTGTGCTGAATACCTAGCACCTAAACGAAGTCCTTGCGTGATCAATATACGTATAAAAACGGTAAATTAATAATTATTGTTCTTAGAAAAATTCCTTTTCAAAAAGCCAATTGTCCTAACCTCTAACCAAACTAGCATCATCCACAAAATGACATAAAATTTCTCGGTTGAATCTAGCCCGTTCTGGTGTGCAGTGTTGCCAACTAGACAAAGTCAAGTTCCCAAAAAAAGTTATCAGCAAGTCCTAAATATATATTATATTTGTTTGTAGATTTTGTGCCATAACTATTGATAACAGTTAACATTATGATAAACATAAGTAAGATTTTACAACGAAGTCAACATCAATTACACATATTTTAGGATATAATCCATAGGAAATGACTTACAATCTAAATCTAGGGATATATCCCTAGAGTTGGGAACACCGCTGATGTGTTTGGGACCGAACCGATTGTGATTAATTGAAAGATCTTAAACTGTTTGAGGTTTTTATATAAAGGTAAACTTTAAAGGTTTTTATAGTTAAACAAAACATTATTAGGTAACTAACAAATACAATAATGCTGGATAGAAGCTAAGAAAGAAAACATGCTTAACTACACATATCAAAAACAAGCTAAAAACGATAGTAACAACAGAGTAGTGATAACAACATTATGATAACATTTTTTCGGTTTTTCGGATAATGTAAAAATGTATGTAGATATCATATTATACAATGATTAAAATGTATATTTATTTTCACAGCTAGCTGTTGTTACCGGGAGCGCGTTGCATTATTATTATTATTTAAATTTTTTCAACTGTCAGGGTGTTGGAAATTCGACGAGACGGACCCGTTGTTGTGACTTGTGTCTATGACCATGAATTGCATGTCTTTAGTAAAAGTAAAAATCGGAAAGACCCCGCCGTATGTTGTAACACAAACTGCTTCATTTTACTTCGGGAGCTTCGCGTCTACAACACACATAGGCCGCTTACCGTCCTTGACCCGAGTCTCAGGAATTTACCAAGTTTTTTTTAATTTTTTTTTTTATTTGTTGTATCGGTTATTATCATATGTAATGTCTGTTCGATAACGCGCCTAAGGTTTGCGATTCACCAACTATTGTTGAATACACTCTTAACACAACAATGTTAGTTAGCAGTTCATTTAAATTTAACATCTGGTTAAATGAAATAAGTTTCACCATAAAATGTATTGTATTTCTATTTGTCAAGTTAACTAAACGTTAGATGGGTTACCAAAGCGGTTATCTCGATTCCAACGTTCTCATTGGTTATTAAGATATGTGATAACTGATAACTGATTGTGATATTTAATTTGTCAGTTTGGTATTGTTTTTGACATTTTATTTTACTTTCTTTTAACGTATCGGTTTATACTAATAATTGATATACATTTTTTTTAAAACATTGTTTAAATAGTCTATACATTTCTAAAAACAATTTGTCATCAAGATCATTAAAATAATTTTTCTATTTTGAAAGCTTTAAAAAAAGGTAGTTAGTGATAAGAATTATTTCCAGTGTTATTCTCAGGACATACAAGACATAATAATTTTATCTAAATTATAAAATACAACAAATTATGATATTTGAACATATAATGCAAGTCTGTGTCATTCCTTTTTACCTAATCTACCTACATAAAATAACTTCTGCTTACCTAATAAAGGGTTATCCAAGTTGTCTTTTCTATTGTTCTCTAAATACTCAATACAAAGAAGGTCCTCATAAAATGTGTAATTCGTAATTATATATTACAAACCCAATTTTCACTAAATAGTTATTAGTTATAATTATTAACAACAAGTTCAATTCTTAACAAATGTTGGTGAAACCGACTGCCAATGTTTCAGTATTCATATTTGAATAGTAAAATATACATACAAACAAATATAATATGAAAATACAAAAATTCTAATCTAATCTAATCCAAACTAAATATTATAAAATTTCATTCAAATCAAATTAACCGGTGGTCTTTCTTCCCCGCATAAACCGTAACGTCTAAACCTGATAATCATAATAATAATAATAGCCCACCGATGATGACATGCTAAAATCGGCAATGTTAGTGTGAAGCAAGTAAAAAAGGAGAAAGTGGTCAGAACCTTTCCTGCACAAACACTATTACACCGTTCAAAGATCTAGAGTGGCCCGCGGAGGCTGTACCATAAAATAAAATATATTATATTATATTACTATCGAGCGTGATGCAATGATCTAGAGACGTTAAAATTGTCACTGTTGCTAAAAAAAAAAAAAGTTTAAAAATTTATACAATACACCTACACACCGTCAAGTTTTGGATTTTCAATACAACAGAGAAACAACGATAAGGCTTAGGCTTATAGTATTTATAAAAAATGTAATCGTCGAGAGAGGAGTACTTTTCAAGAAACTCATAATGACTCAGATTCAATGATGTAATTTTTACAAAAAAAAAATTAAAAGAGAAAGATTATTTTTTATAACAATAGTCGTTTTGTTAATAGTTTGCAAAGTTGCAAAAAATATTTTAATTTTTTTTATAATTATTATTAATTAATTAATAATTATTTATTTTTATATATTTTATAATTTAAATTATAATATACGTCAAATTGTTCAAGATTTTAAGGTAAATATTTTTTTTTTTCAAATATAGTTGTACAATAATACAAGTTGTATTTTTATTGATAATTATTATTTATTATTTTTTATAAATTTAAAAATGAAAATAATTAAGATTTAATTAATTAGTTAATTTTATTTTCTTAACAGGCACAAGTGCCCAAAACAAAATTAACAGTAATATTTATATTTATTTACAAAAAGAAGTAATACTAAAATAACGCTATACAATTTAAGACATTGAGTGTCAATTAATTTAATCGGCAATTCATTTTTTTTTAAATTTAAACATTGTAATGTATAATTCGAATGATAATTTTAGGAGCATATTTGTGTATTTTTTAAGAGCTATAAGTCCCTAGGCCTGTGTTAATAACTATTATTTTTACCACAGTCGAGGCAATTGATTTTTACCATAGTTTAATTGTACGTTATTGGCCACTTAAAACGAACATAATATTATTGTGTAACAGTAATTATTATATATATATATATATATATATATATTTACTGCATTCATGACCTTGCGTATTGCTCATCTAAAACGGCATTGAGTCGCTTAGAGAAATAACTTAATTTTACCTATTTAATTCGTGCGCTATACAAGTAAAAAACAACAAATCAATATGGCTGCATTTTTTTAAAAATGTTATTAACATAATCCGGCATTATTTATTTGATCATAATAAATTACAGCCGACGTTAACCCGTTGATTTTAGAGGCTGTCCAATGTGGCGACACTTAATAAGATAGGGGCAAGATTTTTTTAAAAAAATTTTTTAAAGTTAAATCTCTCAACAGCTTAATGTCGACAAACTTATTTCCCGCATTACGTTAAACGTTCGTCAATGACAAAGGAAATAAAACACCATTAGCTAGGCGATTACAATAATAATAATAATATACTTTAATCGCATGTATTGTTTTGAGTTGACAAAACGAATCATTAATTTCACATAATCTCTCTCTCTCTATATATGTATACATTTATAAGTGTGTGTATGTATTTTATAAAGGCAATTAGGATATCTTAATTTCTCCGTCTTGAAAATATGTTAATGTAGGCGTATTAAAATATATATAATATTTTTTTAAAAAACCAATGATCGATCGACAGTGTGTGTGTGTCATTAGTTAGTGTTTTTCAAAGGTTAATAATGTATATTATTTCCTTATTATCATATTATTATTATTATTATTATTGTTATTTCGGTTGGAAATTTCAAAACGGCAGACCTTCAAAACGGAAGGCCGTCGGTTTAATAAAAAGCGTTGAAAGTGTCTTCGCACACACAACCGTTATGTCACTTGTAAAAGCACACCAGGCAGTCTTGTCTCTTGTTGTTATTGATTGGCACGCATAATAATAGTAATACAACTGATTCATAACATTGATAGTAGCTTTCTTAAATGATTATGTTTTTATGTAAAGAGAAGAAGACAATGTTTAGATAATCCCCAGCGTGATTTGACAATAGGTTTTATTATTTCGAATGCAACCAGCCCGGTACAGCAATCGTCGTACTACCTATACTATTTAAGGTCGATTATATTTGAGAATTGTTTAAAACAACGTTAACTAGCTGACACAAACTAATACCGACATGTCATGTTAATTATTTTAACTAAACATTTGTTTTATACACATTTTCAGAGAAGACATGGAAAAAGTAAACATTCGGTTTCACAATAACGGGACGGTAACGTACCAACATAAAAAAATTTTAGAATTCCTACCACATCTTTCGGTTGTCAAAAAAGATGACATCAAACTGACTGTTCCAAACATTCCTTTGCTAGTACGTATACCTACCGCCCGGCAAGCGTTTACCGCCCAAAAATATATTACAATTTTGTGTTTTTTGTTTCACCCAGACATTGACTACGCAAGCCAATAGTTTACCGTCGATATTAAAAAGTTCACTCTCCGCGATACTGAGGTTCTCTAGTCTAACTCCGTTCAAACACGTTACCCCGCAGCAACTGGTCTTTGGCTACGACGACCCGTTGACTTCTTTGGCCAATACTTACTATCCAAAAGGGAAGAGACCTCCCAAACAAATGGGACTGTTCCTATTGGTGAGTACAAGCCGTTTGAAATTATTACAATATCAGCTGTGGTCGAGATGGGTCGGGTGTTTTGTGTAAAAGGAGGATGCCTTTAAGATTGAAAGGTAAATTGTATAGGTCGGTAGTGAGGCCAGCAATGTTATATGGGAGATAGAATAAGAAATGAAAACATAAGGGCGAGTCTAGGAGTGGAGAAAATGAGAGAGAATAGACTGAGATGGTTCGGTCATGTTATGAGAAGAGATGAGACAGAGGCAGCGAGAGATGTTATGAAGATGAATGTAGGGGAAAAGAAGAAGAGGATGGCCAAAGAAAATATGGATGGATGAAATGTAGAAGACCGACCTCTATGGAGGAGTAGGACTAGGGTGGCCGACCCCATTGGGAGGGTAAGGCGAAGATGTAGAAGAAGAAGATCTGTGTGGTTGAGAGCCAACATTTGATAGTTATATGATATGCACATAACGTGTAAACCCTCAAAATTTTACAAATATCAGCCTTTGTCTCTCAAAACAATATGGTGGTATAATATTTTATCGCAATGACGACGGGTAACCTATTTTGTTCTTTGTAATACATTAGCGAAACGGCACGCTAGACGAAGTCTCCACAATCTATACCGGACACAACGGAATGGAAAACTTTGGGCTTCTCGATCGAGTGAACGGAATGGACGAACTGCCGTTTTGGAAGGGTTCGCCGTGTAATTCCATTAAGGCGTCTGAAGGTAACATCAACAATAATATCATGTTTACAAGTATCTCAATATCTAACTGGAATCTATTTTAACTTGAACAGGTTCGTTTTTCCCTCCGAGAGAGATAACAAAGTCTGACATTGTGCACGTTTACGATAAAGATCTGTGTCGAGTGTTGCCTCTAAGATACCGTAAAGATGTACTCAAAGACGGCGTGGTAGCTGGTTACTACACACCTGATGACAAAATGCTAGAAACTGTAGACGTTAACCCCGAGAACGCTTGTTTCTGCGAAGACAACACCAACTGCACTATCAAAGGATTGCAATACATTGGACCATGCCAATTTAGTAAGTAGATTTTGTTAAATTAGACTGAAATGTCAAACCAATAGCTGTTGACGCATTGACCGACCGAATTAGTTGTTTGAATTCATTTGCTAGAATGTAGGATAATATCAGACCAGACGAGGCGATATATTATTATGAAGATGAGATGTGAGGTTGTCGGTGAAGTCGATAGGTTCAAGTATTTAGGATTCGCAGAAGAATGATGCAGGAGATAGTTGAACATAATATTAAGAGTTATATAAAGATGGCCATTGGGCGTGTGTGTCTGAAAGCCGTGTCAAGGGAGAGGTGGAGAAGAAGAAAAAAAACTACTAGGGTTAAGGGTAAAGGATGACCTTTATATAAATTAAGGTCGAGGGCGCAGTAATAAACGTTAAGGTACATTTCAAGGTATGCATTGATTTACAAATTTAAATGCGATTGTTTACTTTACAGATGCTCCAGTATATTTGTCCTTCCCTCATTTTTACAAAGCTGATCCCAGACTTTTGGACGAAGTGGAAGGTTTACATCCAGACCAAGAAAAACACGAAACGTTTTTCAAAATTCAACAGGTACCTAAGACTTTATTAAGACCTAACCGTTGACATTTTTAAAAAAAATATTAATATTCGTTTTGATTGCAGCGATTGGGAGTTCCTCTGGAAGCCAGAGTGAAAGTTCAACTGAATTTGAAAGTCGAGCAATCCAACATATACCCTACCAATAACTTCAGAAGTATCGTGTTCCCGATTATGTGGCTCGAAGAGGTGTGTATAATAGCAAGGATATAAGACACGATCGAACGATTTGCGTTCGTAAGGTCATATTATATTCGAAAACAAATCGTATAATTAACTTTATTTACATTGAATCATTCTGTACCATACCTACAACCTATTTATATGTACAATAATGTGGTTCGTCTATATATTATTATAGCCAGTGGCGTAGGTACATTCAATACTTAATTATGGGCAAGGGGAGGGGGATATAATATAATAAAAAACCCGCGAGGGCTTCGACCAGCAAAAATCTACACGATAGACTGTAACAGTATTGACTACTATCTTTAAGCCCTCTAGAATAATGCAACTAATTTGGATATCGACTACCAATACTGAGACTTGAATCTTAATTTAACCACTGCGCCTAGATACTTTTTAACTAGAGCTCTCAATCGATTCCTCGAAGAATTGTATTCGATAAATAAACGGGGTTTCATGAAAATTCACGATACTTTACAAAAGTAAATCAATTTTTACCTTCCCTAATGAAAGACATTGGATCATGAATAAGTCTTCAATCAGCTGACTCTCTTTGTTTGTTAATTTCATATCTCCCTGACTGTGCTTAGTTTGAACTTCCACTGTGCTGGATTCTAACTATCCGCAGATTGGCAACGAAGCGTATGATTGCGATGAAATCCGTTTTAGATTTGATCCAATTTTCTGCCGACTTACTGTACTGATTTATACTGTACTTGGCTTAAACCGTGCTTGGTTTGGACAGCGCTGGTTTAGACTGCGCTCGCTTTTGACATGGATATGTCTTATGGCTGGGGGTCATTCTGAAAATAACGTTAAGAGTATCCATACTTCATGCAGATACATCAAGTTCAGGATATATAAGGATAGTCAAATGAATTTGTTAGGTAGGCACTTACTTACTGGCGAACCACGGAAATACTCCTAACTGAGTTTACTCAGTTACCAATAGATGATTTTTTTCTCGCTTTTACAGTCCATGTAGGACCTTTGCTGCAAAGGTCCTACTGCGATGTCTATCGAAGGCTCTGTATTTGATTTCTTCGATTCTCGTTCCTTGTGAGATTCCAGTAAGATCTGGAATCTGTGTTCACTCGTTCTGCCCATCTTCGTCTCGGTGGACCCCTAGGATTTTATTTTCTCTACGATTTTGTAATTGTTTGGCGGTTTCCTTTTTTTCAGGGCGTCGGCGATTTGCCGGAGAACATACACCGGTGGATATATTTGGCCACCACGTTCGTGGACGCGGCAGTCCCTTTGTTGACGTACGGTCTAATACTGGGAGGCGCTTTAATACTGGTGGCGGTGTTCGTCCGCACTTATCATCAGATGGTGTTCACCCGGGAAAACATAGAAAGGGGTACACAGCGCATACTCCGGCGGGGCAGCAGCATGCTGGTCAACGGCCAACAGCGGTTGCTGATCGTCCGGGATTCGTATCATCGGTTGAGTCAAGGCATACAAGACACGGACGTGGACGCCCAACAACTGTTGCCCGATTAGCGGTTTTAACCACCGATATAATATGTAATTTTCTGTATTTAGAGCACGTTGACACTGCCACATTGATACTGTGTGGCGTTTATTTAATTGTTACGGTTTAGATGATGTACGCATAGCAATTGTCGCGATATTGCACTGTCAACGTGTCAAAATTAAACGATCAAATTACAAACATTATATTATATTATAAAACGCTCGTCTCGTGTGCGCGAAATGCATTGCTTGGTCGACAGATATGTTTTTGCGTGTAACCTCTTAACTGTGATGTATACGATGCATAGGGTTAATAGTTCGGTGACACCGGAAGAAAAAATAAAATAAAAAAATTCTCGAATCGGACTGTGATACGAATAATAATTTTATTTAGACGAAGACGATTTCTTTTTTTTTAACGAATTTTAATTATGTATTTATTTTTTTTTTTTTAATATAATTATTATTATTATTATTAGATAGAATTTAGTGTGCACGGCCAATTGGGACGTATATAATAGGTATGTGTCTTAGTTGGCGGAGCGAACGGAACAAATCAAATTTTTAATTTATCATTTTGTAGTTGTAATATTTTTATCGCGCTCATTTTTAGAACAAACTTTATTTTTATATACATACATAATATATAATATAATATTATTTAATAATTTCATATTTAATGTTATATACAAAAAGATTATTATTTGTAAAATACCACGCGGGACGGCGATGTGGGCTATCTTCGCGACATTGGTGAATTCGTGATGTCGTCTGATAATCAAATAAAGTCTATTTACTATTTTTTAACAAGTACTTACACATTGCGGTTTCGGAGCATGTCTCAAAAAATTACTACTAGTGTCGCGAAAATACCTCACCGTCGCCCGAAATGTTATTTATTCTTTTAACTTAAACCGTACATTGTGTAGTTTTTATCGTTAAAAATTTGATTTTGATTTAAATTAAATCCGTCGTGGAGGGTAGCCGAAAATCTATTCAAAATGAAAATACCAAGCCAAAAACTCAAAGATAAAAAATATATATAAATATAAATTTATTTAGTATTACCGCTGGATTTCCTGGAGTTACAACGTAACACTTACACTTAAGACTTAGAAATAATGTTTTTGAATATAAATCAATGTAAATACCGTACAGTATAATATGAATTGATTTTTTTCCGACTGGACATTACACTATAAGTTTTGTTGGGCATTCAAATACAAATTAGTCTTAACAGAAAAAAAATGCATTTTTTGTACTGTAAAAACTAAAGTTGTTAATTTATTTATAACGAATTTTGCACACCCAATTATTGCTCAATTATTACAAAATCAAATAACATTTTAACAACAATATGTTCATCGTTACCATTCGTATATTTGTAAAACGATTTTATAACTAGACTTTTAATTATTATTTACAATTTGTATTATTTTTTTTTTTATTTATTTACATTTTTAAAAATTCTTTACAAAACAAAAAAAAACTGTACATAATGTATTTTTTGTAAAATATTTCCCTGTTTAATAATTACCGTACCAGTTGTCTATTGTTTTTTAAAACCTAAAACCATGCGCTAAAATGTTTTTTGGAGTTTTACTATACAACAATATTAGTGGTCGTAATACGTTGACAAAGAATTTTTGGAACATGTTAAAAATAAACAATGTATTTGGCATGAAAATTATGTTGTTTCTTGTTTTCAATCAATCTATTAAGTAGGATTATTGTAGTTAGGTAAGATAATTTTTTTTAAATTGGCACCACATTAGATAAATTAAATTTATTATCCACAAGTGTTTATTGATATGTACCTGTGTAAACAAGCACTTATACAGCCGGTTTCACCAACAACTTTAATATTTATATTATTATAGTTCAGAAATCGTTTTATAATTTTTGTTGACCGAGTATACTAGTAATATATAACAACGAATTACCCATTAGATGAGGAATTTCTTTATATTGAGTATTTAGAGAATTGTAGAAATGACAACTTGGATAACCCTTTATTAGGTAAGCAGAAGTTATTTTAATGTAGGTAGATTAGATAAAAAGGAATGGCACAGACCTGCATTATAGGTTCAAATATCATAATTTATTGAATTTTTGTAATTTGGATAATATTTGTATGTCTTGCCTGTCTATAGTATAACACTGGAAATAATTCTTATCACTAACTACTTGTTTTTTAGCCCTTCAAAATAGAAAAAAATAGTTTAATGACCTTGATGACAAACTATTTTTAGAAATGTATAGATTATTTAAGCAATGTTTTAAAAAATGATGTATAAATTATTCATATAAACCGAAACGTTAAAAGAAAGTAAAATAAAAAGTCAATAAACTAACAAATTGAATAATACAATCATTTATCAGTTATCAAATATCTTAATAACCAACGAGAACGTTGGAATCGAGGTAACCGCTTTGGTAACCCAACTAACGTTTTGTTAACTTGACAAATAGAATTTAACAATACTAATGTTATGGTTAATCTTATTACATTTAACCAGATGTTAAATTTAAATGAATTGTTAACTAACATTGTGTTAAGAGTGTATTTAACAATAGTTGGTGAAACCGGCTGATAGAATGTCAAACAAATAGGCTTAGACTTATTCCTAATTGCTACACCTGAGCAGATTTTCAACCGGTCCACTTTATCCTATTTTGGTCCAAGCAAATTTTGTTTTTAACAAATTATTAGAATAACCAAAAGTGTTCACATTCTTCGGTTGTGAAAAATGTTATAATATTGGCTTTAGAGTGTTATAATTGTTATATTTTGTAATAATAATCTTTCTATTTTTTTCTGTTTTGCTTTTCTTCAATCCATTTTTGTCTTGCCTCAAATAGCCTAGACGCTTCTTTTGTCTTCGTCTCATTAAGTTCAGAATTTTTAACGGTGTTAAAAGTTGAAGATTTTTTTTTATCTCTCTTCATACAACACCGGCAATGATATAATATGGTTAGGTAAGATAGTGATGCAATATATTTACCAGGTTTACATAAAATATTGGTTTACATTCCAATATAGGTAATGTTATCTAATGTCTGCTTTCCCTCGTGTTTTGCAAGTGATTTTACAAGTAAACAAACCTATTTTTGAAATATGTTTGTTATTATAATAGATTTCATATTAATTAAAAATTTAACTAAAAAAAAATATATATCTCTGTGATTGTTCGCTTAGAACTTTTGAACGAATAATATACTCAAAGTTCACAAACCTAGCATATTGCTCTGCTTCTAATTTTGTATTCTATATAAACGGAACAACCGGTTAATGAAATTTACTAAGTAGTTTGCATTTGGTATCTGTATTTACATTTTGAACCCATCTTATATCAGAAGCAATAAAAACTTAACACGCCTTGACAGTAACTACCAATTATTGTCTAACCTTAAATGGTGGTGACTATTATGAGGAAAGGTAAAATTATAAGTGTACCTAACAAAAATTTCAAATTGCCTCAATCAGCTATTGTTTCACCAACTAATGTTAAATACACTCTTAACACAATGTTAGTTAACAATTCGTTTAAATTTAACATCTGGTTAAATAAAATAGGTATCACCATAACATTAGTATTGTTAAATTCTAGTTGTTAAGTTAATAAAACGTTAGTTGGGTTACCAAAGCGGTTACCTCGATTCCAACGTTCTCATTGGTTATTAAGATATTTGATAACTGATAAATGATTGTGATATTTAATTTGTCAGTTTATTGACATTTTTATTTTACTTTCTTTTAAACGTTTCGGTTTATATGAATAATTTATACATCATTTTTTAAAACATTGTTTAAATAGTCTATACATTTCTAAAAATAGTTTGTCATCAAGGTCATTAAAATAATTTTTTCTATTTTGAAAGCCTAAAAAAAAATTAGGTAGTGATAAGAATTATTTCCATTGTTATACTCAGGACAGGCAAGACATAACAATGTTATCCAAATGATAAAACACAATAAATTATGATATTTGAACACATAATACAAGTCTGTGCCATTCCTTTTTACCTAAACTACCTACAAAAATTAACTTCTGCTTATAAACCGAAGTTAATACAAAATATTAAAATACTGTCTAAACTTATTAAAACTACTTTTTTTCTTAAATATTGCCTATATAAAACTCTTTGAAAACCCGCTAGCTTTTAATCTCTTTAAAAGTATACAAATAATATCTGTGCAGGAAATGGTTGCTTTTGAAAAAAAACAAACTTTGCATTTTATGCTGTACCTAACTCATTTAAATATTACAAATAGAATTACAAGAATAATAGAAAACTAGTCTCTGGTGTTTGACCTATTAAACCTATTTGTTGTTTTTGCAACACTATAACATTGCTAGATTTAAAATATACAAATAGTATTTTATTTCATTGGTAAAATTAACAAGAGAATAACAATACACGCTATACGTTTTATCGTTATATTTAACTATTTAATAATTATAAATGATAATAAAGCGGTATAACGCAAACAAGTAGTCAAGTGTAGTACTTATTCCATTTTTTATCATCAATCTATTTAATTAATCCGGTAAACAAATGAACATAATTTAAGAAAATAATACTATTCCTTAACTGTTGAATATATACCATAGATAATTTGATCACAACAACAGATTTAACATAATAACTTTTGAGTTTTATAACATATTGTTATTCGTGATTTCTTTTTAAAACACTCGTGAAATATAAAAACATACTTAAAGCAATAAAAGGTAAACATTTTATTTGAAAACCGCCAAATTATAGCTGTTATAAAATAGGTAAAAGTATTGTAACTAAATTTAATTACAACCATATTTGAAACCATAGTATAAACAATTTAAATACCTCTAGATTCTTAAAATCAAAGAAATCAATATTTAAAGTATTTTTTGTTTTTTTGTTTTTAAGCATTCATTCTATATTCAAAGTATTTCTTATGGCCATTAAAACATTAGCGGCAGAACAAGAGAACATTTTTTTATAATATTTACTTGTATACAATAATTTATTTTCAAATCTGGTTTTAAATAATTTTCTTTTAAGAACTTGTAGACAATCTAAATCATGATATTCAATAAGATTATTTACAAATATTAAATTTGAGTTTGGAGGAAGTAGTTAATTTGAAAGTTATTTAACCCTTCACTGGATGATTTTTTTATTTTTATGAAAAAATTAGTAATGATTATTATTATAAAAATATATATGCCATTTTTATTTGTTTACTACACTCTATTGATGAAAAACATGTTTTTCTAAAAAATAGTCGAAATAAAAAGTTTAAAATAATTTTACTACAAGAACAATTTACCAATCAACTGTAGCACATTTTATTTAAAATGTCAATTACTTTGAAAACAACCGAAAATTGACTACAATTTTAAATAATATTAAATATCCTTAATTTCTAATTAAAAACAAAGTCCATCATAATTTTATCAGATAAAGTTTTATATTGTAAGTTTTTTTGTGATTTAAATTTGGTTCAATTTTAGCGTGACACATACATTTCATAATTCTTAACTCAAAGAATTTAGACTTTGTTGAATAGTGTCCACGCTTGTAATACTATAATACTATGTACAGTAGTATAATATACGATTATATAATGTATTTAATTGTCATTGAAAAATTCACTTAAAAAAGCAATACCCAAAAATGATAATAGTCATTGTTTTTAGGCAAAAATACATTACACATAGTATTAAGTCTATAAGGTCGGGCCTATAATGTATAAATGTTTTTTAATAATAAACCACATCTGGTGTGAACTTACCAACCATAATATTTTTACTCGGATTACTTGCTTGTTTTTGTACTAGGCCTGAAAGGTACCGTTTTGAATAAGAATAATAATATTATAAATTAGAACTGCATGCGGATTTTATGTTCTCAAACAATATAAGTTTTTCTTTTTTACAACAATTTTTACCAATTGTGCACAATTGTTCTGATCGCCCTGTTCTTTATCACTTGAGTAAATAAACCAACATTAGTATAGTTTACTAGATCCAAATAATATAAAACTCTTTTGTTATAAGAACTAACTAATAGAATATCAAGAACCACAAAAAAATCATCGTTCCGCAATTGTACATTACAATATTTTATTTACCCAAGTCGTGATTAAACAATGGTTTCTATGGCAAGCACACTTGTTTTATTGTTTATTTTATGTTGCGTTTCGGCATCGATATCTTTCAACTGTGGTCTGTCAAAATGTATGACGGTATTGAATCCCTTTCTACGGATAAAGGTAAAGTATGGTTTCCTTAGTGCGGTAATTAAAGTATGGGAATTTCTCAAGGTTTCAGCATTTCGTATAAAACTATGGAGCTCTTTATATGCCTAATTTATTATTAAGTGAAAAAAAATAGAAGAGATAAAATTACAAAGCTAACTTATTTTTTAAAAACAATTTATATTAGACTAGACTACAAGAGTTAATGATGATTCATTGTCAGGCATTAGTGAAGAGATCGTGTCTGTTTTTTAATTAATGTACTTGTTTTTTAATGGACATTTTTTGGTGAAATCAGAATTTACTTATTACATATTTTACCGTCGTTTAGGGCATTCAAAATCAAGGTTTGAAAACGTAACCAAGTAAAAATTTACATTTTTTATTATAATAAAACACATTTTTCGATTAAAATAATTACTATTGCAATGATATATATTAGAATATCATGCTATTAAGCATTGTAATCAACTTAATTTAAAAATATACTTGTTGTAAAATGTGTTCACATACCATCAAAATGTGCACTTATATCCAAAACCATTTTTTTTTTAATTGTTGGTATTATGAATTGTGGACATACTTATCTTACTCTCATAGTTGTGCGCACATATAATAAAAATATGTTTTTACCATAAAATCCGAGCCCATAAATTTTAAACTGTTATACCTAACTTTAAAAATACCTCAACAAAATATTCAGCAAATCAAACGCATACATTTAAGATTCAAAAGTCACCCTCGTTAAAATGTAATGCACCATTCGCAGGGTTCACTAAACTATGTTTAAAGAACAACAAAACATCTATGGACTCAATATAAAACATTAAACGAACGTTGGTAATAATTCTGGGTACTGGCTGGAAAAAAACCATTAAATTATTATTAGTCCAGGCAAATCAGAAAAATTGCAGAAAAAATGCTGGAAAGCTGAATTTTGGTATACACCTTAAGGGAAAGGTCCTTAGTACACACTAAAATTGGATGCCTGCTAGCTCTGCTCTTTGTGTCAACAAAATTAGTTTTTTGCAAATAACTCGTTAATTTTTAAGATTACAAAAAAAAATATTTATATACTTTATTGTAGACGAGGTAATTATCTATAAAAAAAAGTTTTTATAAACATTTTTGTGGGTACAATATTTACTTAGATAATTACAGTTCACACATGAAATTTATTATCAAAGTATTGGAAACTTGTATTAATTGTGTATTGGATATGAATAAGTGCGTAATGTGTTATTATGGTCTGTTTTATTTGAATTGTAAAATGCTTTAGCTGAGTTTATTAAATAGGGCCCCGCTTCTTAATAAGTTTAAAGCCCTGCACTTTTACTTTTCTATAAATCATTCTCTCAGTTTTACTTTTTCCGGGTTTAACAAAAAAAAAATTATTGGTAGTAAGAGCCACGCCTATTAAAATAATTAACAGGTCAATCTTCACCGACCACTTTAATTTTTTTATTAGACAATGATAAATCGATGGCGGTGTTTGTAATCAGAGTACCTATGTGATTTTTAAAATTACTTGATAGCATGCAAATTAACCTCGTTTTTTTTTTATTTATTAATAATAATAATAATAATAGGTCTTCTATTGGTTCAGTTCATATAATATCAAAACAGACAATAACACAATGCACATTTATTTATATCCAATACAAATACAAGTTTCTAATACTTTGATGTGTAATTACCTAAGTAAATAATGTTCCCACAAAAAAAATTATAAAAACCTTTTTTACGGTTATTTACCTCGTCTACAGTTAAGTATATAAGTATTTATCAGCTAATCATAAAAAATAACTAGTTATTTGGGAAAAACTGATTTTGTTGACACCAAGAGCAGAGCTAGCAGGCATCCAACTTTTAGTGTGTTACTATAAGGTCCTTTCACTTAAGGTGTATACCAAAATTCAGCTTTCCAGCATTTTTCTGCAATTTTTCTGATTTGCCTGGACTAATAATAATTTAATGGTTTTTTTCCAGCCAGTACCCAGAATTATTACCAACGTTCGTTTAATGTTTTATATTGAGTCCATAGATGTCTCGTTGTTCCTTAAACATAGTTTAGTGAACCCTGCGAATGGTGCATTACATTTTAACGAGGGTGACTTTTGAAACTTAAATGTATGCGTTTGATTTGCTGAACATTTTGTTGAGGTATTTTTAAAGTTAGGTATAACAGTTTAAAATTTATGGGCTCGGATTTTATGGTAAAAACATATTTTTATTATATGTGCGCACAACTATGAGAGTAAGATAAGTATGTCCACAATTCATAATACCAACAATAAAAAAAAATATTGGTTTTGGATATAAGTGCATATTTTGTTGTTATGTGAATACGTTTATACAACAAGTATATTTTTAAATTAAGTTGATTACAATGCTTAATAGCATGATATTCTAATATATATCATTGCAATAGTAATTATTTTAATCGAAAAATGTGTTTTATTATAATAAAAAATGTAAATTTTTACTTGGTTACGTTTTCAAACCTTCATTTTGAATGCCCTAAACGACGGTAAAATAAGTCAAGTAAATTCTGATTTCACCAAAAAGTTTCCCTTGCAAAAACAAGTACTTTAATTAAAAACACACATGATATCTTCACTAATGCGTGACAATGAATCATCATTAACTCCTGTAGTCGAGTCGATATAAATTGTTTTTGGACATTTTTTAGCTTTGTAATTTTATCTCTTCTATTTTTTTTTGTTCACTTAGGGGAAGTTTGGGGGAATTGCGGCCACTTAGCGGGAATTGAAATATCTTTGGAACTAAAAGTTCAGAAAAAACTATAAACTTGTTAGATATTATGTATATAAGTTTCAGGTTTTTAAAATTAAGTTAAGTTTTTATTTAAAATTGCAAATGACCGCTATTAGTCATTACCCCGTCATTTTTGGTTGTAATCCGTATTACCCCTATCAGTCTTTTTTTTTCACTACATGTATTTACTTAAAAGCTATAATATTTAGGTAGATTATGAGCATAATATAGTTTTAATTCTTGTATGTTTTACGATATAGGTATTTGAAACATTTTATTAAGACAATTTTTTTAAATTCTTACCTTGAGATGATTTTCAATTAGGAAAAATTTCACATCAACTGTGATAACAAAATTGATAATTATTTTTAAGAGGGAAAAAAGTTGTTTACCGATTTGGAACATCTGGTGTTAGGTTTTGGTAGCAACAGTTACCAAATTATAAAATAAAAAAAAAGCCAAAGTGATAACCAACGTTTATTAGTCAACTATACTAATGTTGGATTATTTACTCAAGTGATAAAGAACAGGGCGATCAGAATAATTGTGCACAAATGGTAAAAATGTTTGTAAAAAAAAAAAACCAAACATTGTTTTAAGCACATCAGATCCGCATGCAGTTCTAGTTTATATTATAATTTCTATCTTCGTTTAAAACGGTACCTCCAGGGCCTAGTACAAAATCAAGCAAGTAATCCGAGTAAAAATATTATGGTTGATAAGTTCACACCAGATGTCTATTATTAAAAACATTTATACATTTTGACCTGCCCGACCTTAGATATTATTAATGGTTACATTTAAACATGATTGACAGCAATAACACTATGTGTAAATTATTTGTTTACCTTGTTTGTGTTATTTGCCTGAAAACAATGACTATCATCATTTTTGGGCATCGCCATTATTATTAGGTGTTTTTCAATGACAATTGACATTATATAATAGTATATTATACTAGTGTGCATAGTATAACAAGCGTGAGCACTATTCAACAAAGTCCAAATTCTTTGAGTTAAGTATTATGAAGTTAGTATGTATCACACTAAAATTGAACCAAATTTAAATCACCAAATACTTACAATATAAAACATTATCTGAAATTTTATCTGATCAATTTATGAGGGACTTGTTTTCAGTGAAAAAATTAATGATATTTAACATTATTTAAAATTGTAGTCAATTTTCGGTTGTTTTCAAAGTAATTGACGTTTTAAATAAAATGTGCTACAGTTGATTGGTAAATTGTTCTTGTAGTAAAATTATTTTAAACTTTTTATTTCGACTATTTTTTTAGAAAAGCATGTTTTTTCATCAATAGAGTGTAGTAAACAAATAAAAATGGCATATATATTTTTATAATAATAATCATTACTAATTTTTTCATAAAAATAAAAAAATCATCCAGTGAAGGGTTAAATAACTTTCAAATTAACTACTTCCTCCAAACTCAAATTTAATATTTGTAAATAATCTTATTGAATATCATAATTTAGATTGTCTACAAGTTCTTAAAAGAAAATTATTTCATACCAGATTTGAAAATAGATTATTGTATACAAGTAAATATTATAAAAAAATGTTCTCTTGTTCTGCCGCTAATGTTTTAATAGCCATAAGAAATACTTTTAATATATAATGAATGTTAAAAAACAAAAAAAACAAAAAATACTTTAAATATTGATTTCTTTGATTTTAAAAATCTAGAGGTATTTAAATTGTTTATACTATGGTTTCAAATATGGTTGTAATTAAATTTAGTTACAATACTTTTATCTTTTTATAACAGCTATAATTTGGCGGTTTTCAAATAAAATGTTTACCTTTTATTGCTTTAAATATTTTTTTATATTTCACGAGTGTTTTAAAAATAAAATCACTAATAACAATATATCTAGTATTGCATAGTATTGTTATATTATATATAGGTACACAATTATTTATACATTTCAAATATAAAGATTAACAACACCTTACCGACTATTGAGTTGAGTGTAATTAGTTGTGCAATACTGATAAAAACATTACAATATAATACCTATTTTAATATATATTTTGTTTGTTTATGGTCCAATGATTAATGAGAGCAAACTGCATAATAATAATATTAATATCAAGCCGGCCAGTGCCGACGCGTCGGCGGCGATGATAACAGCTGATAACAGCTGTTAATAACTGATAAGAGACAAGCGTTCTGATAAACCAACTGCTGTTTTCAGCGTGTGTATTACACGTCTCGTGTGTGTGTGTGATTTACATAGCCGCTGTTGTCGTTTCTAAAATAATATTATATTCTTACTCGTTGGATTATTATAAACGTTTTGGCACACTCTGTATGTGTTGACCGTCACGAAACGCCGTCTATTAATTATTTATCATAAAAACCGGTGTATAAAACTGGAATACTTCTCCTTTCGTCCGACAGTTAAACGCGGTCAAATATATTCGTCTCAGCCGCTCCAATAATATTCTCTCTCGGTTCAAAATAACATTGTGTTTACTGTAAAACAAACAAACCATTACAAAAATGGTAAGTAATACATTTTTTGTTTTCACCGGTCGCTTTATTATAAACTATTTTATTCTAAACTGTTTTCATAATTTCGCTCCCGGTGCTGTTGACCATTATTAATGACCTTTTATGCCCTTGAAGTACCAAAAATTAACATTGATATTGTACAGCCAAAGATTTTGGCACTTCGGGTCTACTCGAGTCATTCGCGACAGATTTCAATAATTGTATCGATCAAACGTTGAAAATTTTCTTCTTTTTGATAACCTAAAAAAACCCATTTCCAAGCCAAAATCAACCTAACCGCATTGGAATAATATTGTTTGTCGTTTGGCCTTTAACTATTTACTATCGACTTGGCTCTTACTAAACCTTAGTTAGACTGTAACGAAACGTTTGACATATTACGACCAGTTAAGCTGTTTCTCTTTTTAGTATTAATTGTTAATTTAGCGATAAATAATCATAAGTTTTCCTTTTGGTCAAGTATTATGGTAAAAGACTGGATAGTGTATTACTTAGATATTTGTACTAATTTTCATTTTTTTTCTCTTTTACATTAAGCCGGAAAAGGAACCGATCCGCGTTGTTGTCACCGGCGCCGCCGGCCAAATTGCGTATTCATTGATATACATGATCGCCAACGGAGATGTATTTGGGCGTGAACAACCGGTGTATTTACACTTATTGGACATTCCGCCGGCCATGGGAATATTGGAAGGCGTGTGCATGGAAATCGACGACTTGGCGTTCCCCTTGGTCAAAGGTGACGTTTCAGCCGGTTATCGGATTATCCATTACTAATTTAATTTAATTTCACGCATGAACAGGTTACGTTAAGACTGCCGAACCGAAGGATGCGTTTGAAGGCGCCGACGCCGCTTTCTTGGTCGGATCCATGCCCAGAAGGGAAGGTATGGAAAGAAAAGATTTGCTCACCGCCAACGTAAGAATATTCAAAGCGCAAGGCCAAGCTTTGGATCAGTATGCAAAAAAAGATGTCAAAGTTTTGGTCGTCGGAAACCCGGCCAACACGAACGCGTTCATTTGCTCTTATTACGCACCGTCGATTCCTAATGAAAATTTCACCGCCATGACCAGACTTGATCAGAACAGGTACGATTAATTTGAAAGGAGGATCAATCGGCATAGATCAATTTATCTATTTATCATATTTTTACGACAAATTTTTCTAGAGCCCAAGCTCTCATCGCTAAACGACTCAACAAGTCCGCCAACAGTATAACGAACGTTACGATTTGGGGCAATCACTCGTCCACCCAATTCCCGGACGTCATAAACGCCAAAGTCGTGGAACCCGCCGACTCGGTTAGCGTGTACGACGCCGTTAAAGACACCAAATGGTTGGAATCGGATTTCATTAAGGTAAGTAACGAGAAGTTTGTTTGATTGTCGTTGGTTTTTCGTCCGTGCGCACTTAACCTCGTTAATCGTTTTTCAGACCGTTCAGACCAGAGGAGCGGCCGTGATTTCGGCCAGAAAAGCGTCATCGGCCATGTCGGCGGCCAAAGCGGCCGTAGACCATATGCGCGATTGGTGGAACGGAACTCCGAGCGGCAAGTGGGTTTCGATGGGAGTCTTGTCGGACGGCTCGTACGGCATACCCAAAGACCTCGTTTACTCTTTCCCGGTGACGATTGCCAACAAGAAATGGACTATCGTCCAAGTATGCGAATATAATTAGATATTTTGGTCCCTGAAAATAATTATTAAACGTGCATTTTTTATTTCAGGGTCTAAAAATCACAGATTTCGCACGATCCAAATTGGATCTGACCGCCGCCGAGCTGATCGACGAAAAGAAAGAAGCCGAATCCATTTGCAGCGCTTGACGTGTGCCGCCCCCAAACGACTGTAAACTGTGATCGGCCAATTGTTCCGGGCACGAAATTAACGTATTAGTGATTATACACTAGTTTGGGGGAACCGCCCCGTCGTCTCTAGCATGCGATTTCTTCTAAAAAAAAAAATTATCTACTAAAAGAATAATAATATTACGTTCATTCCAAGATGTTGCATTTTTTTTTTAGTTTTATAGAGTATAATAATAGTTAGTCGTTTTGGTTGTATAAATTTTTATTTCTGTTTGTTAATAATACGTAATTTTAATAATGTTTGTAAACGACTCAAGGTTTTCGGAATAATCGTTACAATAATAATAAATAGATTTTAATAATATATATCGTGGTGCCCGGATGGAAAATTATGGTTCGATTTTTTGCCTCGTATACGTCGTCGGCCAGTCTGGAACGTAGTTTTCTTTAATGTAGTTTTCCCTCGTCTGGGAAAGAATGTTTAGATTGTTCGTGCTTCCGAATATCGATCCTGCCAAATAAACAAGATAATAAATTTCAATAGGTCTATCGATCGGCGTTTGGAAAGATCGTGTGTTCGATCTTTTACTTTAATAATTTTTTGACATTTTTAAAATTTCACACTAGCAATTGGTAGTAAAACTTGACATTAAGCTAAAATTTGTAGCTTGCAATGAGGTATCTATCGATTAATATTATTCAACTTAAATTAAACACACACAGGCTCTATTTTTGTACAAAAACAAAAGTTTCTACTTCTAAGAATACTCTTAGACATTAACTGAATTTTTTAGAACACAAATTTCACTAAGCATTTAAAATAATTTTTAGTTAATTGATTATGCAAACAAATTTAAACATTATACAAACTGCGACAATTTATTGTTACACACCGTAAACCGATACAAATGCCATCTTGTATTATTATAGGTCTACGGTGTGCACATATAGTCAATAGGAGAGTAAAGGTGTAAAAATAAAAAATTAACCATTGAAAAATATTATTATTATTTAACTAACGTTAAAAATTATTGCACGTCTAATAGATCATGACGTCTAGCTACTGTCTAAGAAAATTCAATATTCAAATAATAATACAATTATTGTTTACATTTAATCAAATTTATTATATCAATAAAACATGATTGATTAAACGATAAACGTTTAATAATAACACGTTAGTATATATTATGATTTCCGTATCTATATGAGTTGATGTTAATGTATCGGTATTCAGTATGTATATGAAATTAATTGTCGCAGTTTGTGAAATGTATAATTGAAAACAAATTAATTTTATTGTATTGAAAAACACTATAGGCATATCCGTTTCGAAAACTTATTGTCGGATTACGCGGCGTTTCATAGTACGGTTGAAATTTATATTAGTTGTTTTTTGATCAAAGACTGGCCCGGCCTAACCTAACCTAACCTTGAAGAAAAGATTAATTGTTTGATAAATAACAATTTCTATCCAAGTGCATTTAAAAACCTGACCCGACCGTCGTGAACACGTTGTTTTGTCAAACCGACGTTACGTTACCTCCGAGCCACGCCGTGTAATTCTCGTATGCAGGAGCGACGTGGAATTTGAACTTGGAAATTTTCAAGTTTTCATATTTCGGCGACTTTATCTTTTCCAGAAGCTCGTCTCTGAGCCTGGCCGTAAAACCTTTGGCCATTACCGTGCCGCCAATGAGTACGATGTTTTCGGCTAGTTTAAGACGCATGTCGACGTTGCTCTGTAAACAAAACAATTACACATTAAAAAAAAAAAACAATTTCTACTTATATTTTATTAGAGGAGTTTGTAAATTCACACATTTTGAATGGCTTCGAGTATCATCGTGGTCAAGGACATTTCATCGATGTTTTCTTCGAACAGCACGTCGTGAGCCGTTTCTCTAATTTTTCCGGCAATCGTCACGGACGTCTCTCCGTTAACGTGATAATCTGCGTCGGTTGTTTTCGGCTCGACAACCAGTCCCTCGGCCAACGCTTTACTTCGCTTTAACGTCGTAACGAAGCAACTTCTCACTGACTCGACGAAATCGTAACGATTAATGACGTTAAACTTAATAAGTAATCGAACGCCGATTTCTTTATGTTTTTTTTATTTACCTTTAATGTCTTCAATTACGTTGTTTAATGTATCGTCGACGGTTGCTATTCGTTGGTCGATTTGACTTTGTATCGATTTTTCGACCGCTTCGCCGCCCAACGGCAACGCTTGCCACAGTCTCAGCACGGGCACTCCTTCGCAAACGGGTATGAGAATCGTCTCTTTGAAACCCACGTCCAACACTAAAGCCGTGGGAACGCCGAGTGTAAAAAGAGCGGCACAGTGCGAAGGCACGAAGCAAAGCGACGCGACCTAAGGGGGGAAAAAAATAATAATATGCTTTTAATAGCGTCGCTGATTTTACAACGTCAAATATTTAAATCTCACTTCGTAAGTAATGAACAATACTTTGGCCAAGGTCTCTTTGAATTTCGTCGGAGACAATAACGATTCGACGACGATTACTTTTTTATCTTTGGGCGCGACGAGGGCATGTCTAAAATGAAAAATCAATTCAAAAGTTAACAACTACATTATTTTATAAGATATATTTTATATTTTTTTCTTACTTGTAAAATAATGTATGAATGAAATTAGAAAGAGCCAACGTGAGTTTCTGCTGGTCGTGACACTTGTACAAGTCCGACAGAAGAACTCCATCTATCTCGCAACAAGTTCGTATAATGCAGCGCGGCGAATGCTCGGTCGCAAATCCAAATCTGAAAGTAACGTCACATAATTCAATCTTTTTTTTTTTTAATAATAAGACTTTGAGTAGCTCTAACTAAAAAAAAAAACCCCCATTGTGTATTTTAATAAAAAAATAAAATAGCAAAATATGTTATATTTTGTGTCTGGACGTACGCCAGCTCTTTTAACGCACAACTTTTAGATAGTTTTTTGATATATGATGAAAACAAAAATGTTATAATGAGGAAATACTAGAAACAATTTTTCCTTATAATTTGATTCGTTTTTACCATTTACATATTTTTCAAAGCTATTTCAGTTATAAAAATTCCAAAACAACCGTTTCCGCTGTGCTGACATTTGTTAATTTCGCATAACGCCAATGGTAAAGTGTTTAAACATAAATTAATTATTATAAATTTGACTTTTTACTAACTTGGTATATTTCGTGCCAATGTCGATGACGATACATTGTTTTTCGGGTAGAAAATCTGAGTCGATTTTCATAGCTGTTTAGGTAGGTAATAATGTAAACGCAAGTGACAGCGACGACTTTGTTCGATAAAAGATATACTATACAAATTGAATATAAATATCTGAAATCTAGCGTTAAACATTTAGTGTTGAGAAAATTCAAATATTTTCTAGAAAATCATATTATTATCCAAAAGCCAAATTGCAACTTACTTTTTTTTCGACAACAACAATTATTGTTATCATTATTGATAACGCAGAGTGATAAGGATCAAAGTGATAAGAGCAAGACTGTCGACGAGTGGCAAAAGTCAATAGGTATGTCGACAACGAGTGACATACCCAACATGGCGGCCAACGTATTCGGGCGGCCGTGTATTCGTTACGGGAGATAACCGTTGGCGGTTTTGTGAAGTCTGATAACGTTAGCTGCCGACATACCTGTTTGGATTCGCCGCGGCAATAATTGTTGAAATAATCCCACTGAAAACAAATTTTTAACAAAATTATAAATGTAACATACAATTTTACTTGAAAAAGTTATAAAAAATATATTTTATAATTCTTATGCACCATACTTATTTAAATTTTAGAGCACGGTAAGAGTAAACATAGAAAGAATTTGACCTTTTTCATAAACAATTGAGTTGCTTAATTCTGTTCCATAAATACAATTATTACTAAATCTTAAACGGGTAAAATAACAGTTTCTCAAAATGTAAACTAAATAAAGGTTTAATGTCATTGCAACATATAAATAAATATTAGTATTGTTATTGTGAATAAAATTGACTTCAAACTGAAAAAAGTGACTTTAATAATTGACCAAACTAGCAGTGTTGTTAAATAACTGTAACAGACCATTTCATAGATTTTCTTAATTTATACTATTAAAATATGTTTCAAACCGCTTCAGCGATGAAAATGATCTTCCTGTTTCAAAAATCGAAACTGAAAGTACAACTAAAATGTGCAACAAATTGTAGATATTTGGGGGAAAATGCTTGATTATAATATTTATTTAACACTTCCAATTCGCGTTACATGGTTTAATACTATTTTAAATAACTATGCCACAATAGTTATAAACCTCTGTTACAATTTTGTCATTGCTTTCAACATGGTCGAATATACAATAACCGACCCCTCTGCTTTTATCCTCCCCTGATTTTAAGCTCAAACAAAAAGCATGAACAAAAAAAAATTCTACTAACTGCGCTGTAACACCTGTAATAACCTCGTATACATATTATACTTAATATACATTAAACACAACAATATATCTTTCACGAGGCTATTATAGCCTTGTATAAGGTTACATATTAATATTCAGTAATTTTGTCACGATGCAATTGGCTTCCGCTTATTTGTAACCATCAATATCCTTAATGTTATAGTAGAAAATAGTTCCATGTAGGTATGAATAAATTATCAAGTAATAGTTGTTTTTGTTGTACAAATATAATAGTAGTCGTTCGGTTTGAATTGAATTTAAATTTACTTACATCTTTTGACACTTGCTCATTTGTATTTTTCTTTAAACCCATGATGTTTTGTTCATTTCCATTGCTTCTAAACTGTCCCTTTCGCTTTTCCTGATGGTCCAGGTTTCACATCCATATCCATAACACACTCCGTACAAATGTTTTAATGAATTTTTTTCTTTTGGAATTTTCGTGTGAAATTTTTATTTCTGCCAAGGGTTAATTGAAAAAGGGTTTCAACCAAATTTTAGTACAGTGGCCAACAAATCTTTAGTCTTTTGACAGAACTCACATTTTACCAGCCAAAATCTGACAATTCAGTCACAGCGAATGGATTTTTTTACCACCAAAAATGGCTTTACACGACTACTTGACAAAACCTAACCTAACCAGACTTTACCAGACCTTACCTAACCTAACCAGACCAGACCTAACCTAACCAGACCTAACCTAACCTAACCTAACCAGACCTAACCTAACCTAACCAGACCAGACCTAACCTAACCTAACCTCTCGGTTTTTAATCTTTTAAGTAAAAAGAATGATTGTCTTGAATGAATCATCCTGTATAGACAAATGGCAATGGGACCATGAAAGCGCGTCGGCGTTGTGTTGTCCCTACTCTATCCTTATCCTTATCGAGAAGCCGCCTGTTTGCCAAAACAATATTATAATAATCTCATTTCCGTGACATTATTGAACAATACTACAGTAATAATATCGTTATAGTGTTGATAGGTAGCCGGTGTTCGTTCCAGTGCGTTGTATTCTATCACAATGTCATCATATTATTTACATCAAATATCCTTATACCGTTTGTAGTCCATTGGTCAAAACAGAAACGAGTTTTGGATTGTAATACACCTACAGGTAATAATAACAACATAATTTATAACCTTACGAGTGTATTATTTTTTATAATAAAATTATCCTACCTGTGGTACTCTTCAGGAGCACTGTCGTTTTCTGCAAAAAAAAAAAAAATAAATAAATTATAGTAAACCAATTGTTTAAAAGAAATTTGTTTTGTATTTGATAATTTAGCTCAGACAGCAGAAAAATTAAAAAAAAATCTTCAATAAATTATCAAAATGTTATTAAAGAATTTTATAATATATTCAAATGATATTTTGTGGGCAAGAACTAACAAATAGTTATAAAATATTCAGAGACATTTGAACTTTTGTGTTGTCTGGGCATTAGCACAATATAAACGGTGTAAATATTTATTTTAAGAAATCGTGTGAATTTATTACTCATAAATTATCATCGTCAATTGGCTAGGTTTTTTTTTTAAACATAAATTTCCATTATTTTATTGATTGTTTAAACTTTTATGATTGCTAATTTAAATAAATATTATTAATTTTTATAAATTTTCGATCACAATTCTAATTATAAATTAAGAGTTATGATAAAGATAATACAAATATATATTTAGGCTGAACATTCATTAAAACTATGTAAATGTTGAAAAAAAATCAAAGTGAAAAATAATAATTTAAAAAAATGCATGAAAATGAAATAAAAATTAATCTTTAGGTCAAAAAAATATCTTTATATTATATTTCTATTTAAAATGTTTTTTTTTATGATTCATTCTATTGGTAATATCTTCAATTATCTATATACAGGGTGATAAATTTAACTTAAGACAATTATTTTTTCTTAGTTAAATAACTGTAAAAGGTAAATTCAGTAATCTTATAATAATATTATTGTAAAATAACACAAACAAACATGTTTTCAAAAAGGGAAATGAAAAAATTGCGATTATTTTAAAGGGTTAAATGAGTGTTTTCTCCTTATAATGAACCACCCTGTATATATTATATTGTTATAAATACTTCTTCCGGGCATAAGTGGGTAAATAATTATAAAATATAAAATATATATATATATATACCCCACCATAAAGTATACTCGGTTTTTATGTAACCCTGTTTATAGTGTAAAATGTAAGTCCTTCTTAGTCTCCAAACGCATTGCCCTAAATCAAGCGCTGTATATATATATATTTTCAAAAACCGTACATAAAACACACTTTGAAGGTATAAAGTTTAAAATGTTTATTTTCTCAGCTGAACACGAGACAAGAAACGTCGTGGGTGTCTTAGGCGAATTTAATTATGTATCTATACTATACAGGGCGTTTCCTCTTAAAAATATCCAACTTTTTAAATTGAAAAATTACTTGCTGAAAATGTCGGCTGGTAGCTAACCACCAGAACCACCCGGTATTATTTATCTTCTAAGATTATTGACTTAGCTTTCTAGTTTTCATTCGGTGTATGTTCGGTTTGCTCGGGTTTTTTTTTTATTGAAATAGCGCAAAGCTAATATACATCATAGTTCGATGAGTTTAACCACAATACGATTTGTACTGAAAAAAAAAATTAGTCAAGTTATAACAGTTAATATTACCGCATAAACTTATACAGTATGAAGTCTGTAAATTACTTGATTGTATTTTCCATAAGTCTTTTGTCGTTCTTCCCACAAGGTAAAGCTCATGCATGACTTACTTTTCAAACTTTAAAGTTAACAACAACTTACTTTTTTTTTAAAAAGGTGTATGTACTCCAAACTTCGAAGAAGGTGACTGGGTTTATTACCGAAGCAAAGATAATCGTAATTATATTGAATTTAAATTAAAAAAACATATACTTTTACGATTAAAAATAATTAAGTAAAAACCGTACGAGTTTCTTCAACGTAAGAATGTTTAGATTGCCAACGAAAGACATTGTTTAATATTATAATTTCATTACATCTTGAGTGAGAAAATTGAGACATTATAGTGAAAATAATTTAAGCTTGCTGATTGCAAATATTTATCTAAATTTTAGCGAACGATGGCTATTGGCGTATCGTACTTGCTGGTAATATAAGTTCAAGTTTTTAATAATGGGTTGTCTCACTTCTCAGCTAAAAATATAATTAGCTACATTTTCTTGCAGATGGTCAAGAGCCGGATCCCGATAACTCAAGTAGTATGCAATTTTTTTTATAAATATATGTTTAAAAATGTGCATACCAAAACAGCTGTTGCTAAATTACATCTGTTCAAATTAATTATATTGCCAACATTTTGACAAAAAATAATGATTTGGAAATTTTATTCCAAGTTAAAACATTGTGGAAAATAAAAATTACAATTTAACAAATAATGTAATTATTCATAAGAAAATATCTGTTATTAATTTTCAATCTCAATATAGATTATGCCCAACTCGGGTCATTATATTTGACTGTTTAATATTAAAACAGTCGATGACGTTTAAATACCTAATCTAATATCGTTTTACAGATATTGTACAGCTTGTAAAAAAAAAGTAAGTTTTCTTAAAATACAATTTCGAAGCGGAAATGAGCTGGTACATTCGTTTTACATAATATAATAATATGTAATGCTAATGTTTGAAAATTTCGAACGGTTAGGTTAGGTAATTTCCAACTGTATTTTAGCCGTTAAAATATTATACTGTAAACACTAAATACTTTCTAGATTTCATAGATTTGTATTCAAGTGAAACCCGTTTGGCCGTATGACCTCCTGTTATCACACCTCCGGCCTCCTGTTATCACTGATATAAACTGATAAGAAGAGGAGGAGGCGTGATAACAGCAGGTCGGAAGTGTGATAACAGGAGGTCATACGGCCAAAACGTACAACTCAGGTGGGTTAACAAATAATTGTCGATTTTTGTTAGTTGTAATCTTAGGAAATAAATAGGTATTGTGACTTTAAACTAATTATAAATAAACCTTAAGTGGTAATAAATGGTATTAAAAAAAAAACCAAGCCAACGACTGGCCTGATGCTAAAAAATAATAATACTGCAAAGCCAATATTGAGCATGTTCAGCTCCGCCTCGAAGTTAAAACGTTATGGAATATAATTTAAATAATAACGTGAGAATAAATTGTCGATTTTCAGAGATGTTGGCTTCAATTCTGTTTGGAAAAAAAAAGTTGAGCAGATTGTCGAGCAAAATCCTATGTCTGGAGATTTAATTAACGGGCTTTTGCGGTTGAATTTTGGGACAGGGGCGCCATATTTGACTAATGATAACGAGCCAAATTCGACTAGTCATTAGACCACGTTCAAATTGATGTTGTTTAAAATAATTGGATCATTATGACTATAAAGTCAAATTTCCTACACAGGGACGAAGACGATACTCTCATTGGCCAATTAAATATTTTATTTGTACTTGTATTTACAACATAATAAAATAATAATAAAAAAAATGTCTTAAGTCGTTCGTTTGTTTTGAATTAGTTTGTTTAACTATTGTTTTTTTTCTTGCAATAGTCTCCTCTAGTCGGTTGTAACAATTTTAATAACCACAAATCAAATATAATGTACACAATCTAAGCGCATGTATTATAATAGATACCATATTGGCCAGAGATTAAGTTCTTAGCTAAATAAGAGAAACAAATTAAAGCAGAGTCACTTGTGGTTTTATTGTCTTTGGCGATTGCTAGGTACTTAATGAAACGCTCTATTGCTCTGTTGGGTATTTTATATATTATAACTGAAATCCTACAACAGCTGTTCTTTCCATTAAATTGTTTTCTAATGATTTATGATAATTATATGGCGTTATTGTTATGTACGATTCCTGTTCACTATGTTCAATGCACTAAATCCTTTGAAATAGTTAACCGACAGTGTATTTTTCTAATTGGTTTCAGGTTGACCCGTGTAGAGGAATACAGGAATATATATTATTATGGTGACAATTGCATTCCTGTGTAAGTATTATATTCCATGTGACCCCCCTATGTAACTAACTCTTGTTGTAAAGGTTTATAGTGAATAAAAAAAACAATATTTCTATAATGATAAATTTCTATAACATTAATTTTTGTGTTTTTTTAGTTTTTAATGTGGCTGCCACGTTTCTCTGTGCCGTTGTCGAGGGCTCTGTCGAGCAAAAAGCGCAATGTGTCGATTATGTGAATTCTCAACGTCTCAGGGTTGTCAATTGTTATGGGAATGATCTCAAAGTCGTACCGGACAATGTTAAAGACAACGTGGAGGTTGGTATATTATAGTTTAACCCGGGTTTTTCACTCGAATGTGTCTTAATATACTCTTATAACTGTCAAACTGACCCCGAAAGTGATAAGAAACAGCTAATTGTGGATACTGATAAGATACAGTTGATAAACAATAAGTGATAAGAAACGGATGATAAGAGATCGGTGACAAACGGAGGGAAAGGGTGGAAAGTTATCGTGCACATTAACCAACAACAACTGTGTACTAATAAGAATTGAGACATATTCATGATCAAATATTTTTCCTTCGTGGGAAGCCCCCACACTAAATCTATTTATAGAGTTGCTACATTAAGAAATCGCTTATACTCACATAACATGTACAATATGTTTTTTCATCATTATAAACTAATACAAATAAAAATGAAATTTTTTTATAAAAAAAGAATTATATAATTTGTTAATCCGTATGTTTCGATGACTTTGAGTACTTAAACAAAACACAACACAGATTTAGTTAAAATCCAATTTTTTAATACTCTTTAAGACTTACTTTAGATACACCCCAATACCAGTTATTTATATATTCACCAGCTAAATATGTAAATGGTGCATAAATAAAATTTGCAACGATGAATAGCACTCTCGTTATTAAATTTAATCTCTCAAGTATCGGATAAACCCATAATCCAGTTTTATAAAATATCAAATTAATCCTGTGAACAATTTTTTAATACATTAATTAATTTGTTTTATAAAAATACTTTTTTTTTATTTTTACACGTAATAAACAATCTGTATAAAAATACTAGCAGAGCTACTAAAAAAAGGTGGAAAGCACTTAATAAACACCTTGTATGGAGTTATTAAGGAATTAAGGAAAAAGGGAAACTGTGCCAGAGGAGTGGAATATGACAATACTACGAAAAGAGATCCAATGACCAATGTTAGTGTTAAATTATAGAGGTATATTACTATTAGACACAGGATATAAAGTATTTACAACACTGTTAGTGGACAAAATCGGCCCATATGCAACAGAGATGGTAGGGGAATACTAGTGTGGGTTTAAAAAAAGAAAACCAACTGTCGATCATGTCCATACCATCAGAAAGCTAGAGGAGAAACACTACGAATGTACACTAAGGATCTTCACTTGGTATTCATTGGCTTTAAACAAGCCTACAATTATATTAATAGACTAGAGTTATGGACGGTTTGTGTAGAAGCATTATCAACAATGCTATTCAACATTGCCCTTGAATGGGTAGTGAGAACAGCTAACGGAACGCGAAAAATGGAAGTAGGTGGAATTGGAGTCCTTGTTGCCTATGCGGATGATGTGGTCGTCCTGGGGAATTCCAGAAAGATCAAATATACTATCGTATAGCAGAAGCAAGTGGATAGAATGGGCTGGACACGTATGAAGGGCAGATGGAAAAACTATAAAACTAGTCACAGAACTCAGAAGGAAGAATTGTTGGGAAAAGACCTCTAGGAAGGCCCCGAACGAGATGTAAGGACATAGTAGAGATAGATTTTAAAATGATTTAAGAAAGTGCGCAAATAGAGGATGCAAATGATAGGGACCGATGGAATGAAATAGCCGTGACAGTGATGGGTCTGCATGGCCCGCTAAGCTGTTAAGAAGAAGAAGAGAATTAGCAGTTCATTTAACCAGTAAATTTTAAAATTTACATTAGTTATCGTTTTATCCATAGAGACCACACTAAATTGCATACAAGTACTCACCAAAAAAAATAACACACTTGGAAACTTAGATATATAGTCAGCCCCGTTGCTCTGCTTGGATATTTTTTATAGGCAGTAATCATTTCCAATAATGCAAAGAGAAAAACATGACCATATGATACGTGGTTTAGCCAAACTGGAAAATACAAATCATAATACTTTGGCATGACGAGGGTTTGGTCAGTCAACCACTTTGGCCAGAAACTGACGGCAACAAACTGTAAATCATTATTATTGTTATTATTATTTTGTAAATACCATTTTTGCAACTTTAGCCAAGTTGCCCAAAAATATTAATCCTACATTAAGTGGTTCATTAAAATGTAATGGATTAACCATAAACCATTGAAAGTGGTTTTATCACTTTAAAACTTTATCACTCTCAGCAACTATAATATTATTTCTGAAGACCTGTGTCCCCCCCGACCCACTGTGCTAGATTTTTTAAAATAATTCATTTTTTTTTTTTTTTGACATCCTGACGCTTATTTATTCATTTACATTTATTGTTTATAAACTTGTCCTCAATTCTTAATAACTGTAAAATATTTTTTTTTTTTTAATTTCCTTCATTTGGATGCTCGTTTTGTTACATAAATTGTATTTTTATTGCAATCACCCACGTTCCATTTTAAAAGTATGGGAATTGTTTAATATGATGAGTAAGTTTATGGATACGTGTAAAAATAAAGCTCTTTTAAATAATGCAAAATAAAAAAAATCGACACGTTTTTAGTTAAAACGCTTACAAAAATTAGTAATTTGTAATGTAGGTATTTTTATATCATTAAGTAGTATGTTTTGGCCGTATGTCCTCCTGTTATCACTCTTCCTCCTCCTGTTATCACTAAACCTAACCTAACCGGATGTATTGATACCAGGAGTGATAACAGGAGGAGGAGTGATAACAGGAGGACATACGGCCAAACATACTACTTCATTGTGATAATCAATGTATTTTGAAAGTTTATTAATTACCATCGAAAGAGGAAAGGCTAAAGCAGTGAAATAAATATTTTTGCATCGGTTCAACGTTTTCAATGTTCCATCGGAACACGTTTTGGATGCGAGTTGGTCAATTAATACGGCCATCATATAGTACAATGTTTGGATCGCCTATGGAACATTACCAAAATAAATAATATAATCGTTAATGACTAAGAGAATAATATAATTTAATTGAAGAACAATCGATGTAAGCACCTACTTACCAAGTCACAAAAAGTGAAGTATTTGAACTTTCCTCCGAAAGCCTCATCAAGAGGATTCAGGTGGGCAGGAATATTAACAAACGTATAGTAATAATACAGTGCATATGAAAATAACGCAGCCCCGGACAAGTGTACACCCTTATTAATCGTGTCCATTATAATAGGTGCGTTCATTTTTTCAATCTAGACTAGATTTAAAATAAAAATTGAAATATAAGTACCAAACAAATATGTCTAATACGAAAAACTAAAATACTGAAAGTACAAATAAAATTGTAGTTACTAGTTAGGTATGTTTAATAAAATGGACTCACGTCGACTGACGACGATAACGGCTATCTTAGTTTTAGTCTTTACCTATTAGACAGATAGAACTGTTGAACTTTAGTCCAACGCAATCAACACTTGCAATCCAATAATAAACATGTTGTTTCCAATGATATCATTCGAGCTCATTAACTTGAATTATTAAATATAAACAGACACACATCAATTGTTAAGTCAATCAGCCGAAATCAGCTTGTTAAAAAGTTAATTGATGTGTTAAAATGTATTGTAGTACTTATATATATATATTATTTTTATTGTTATAGTTCAGAAATTGTTTCATAATTTTTGTTGACTGAGTATACTAGTAACATATAATAATGAATTACACATTTGATGAGGAATTTCTTTGTATTGAGTATTTAGAGAACAACAGAAAAGACAACTTCAATAACTCTTTAAGCTTTATTAAGCGAGCAGAAGTTATTTTATGTAGATTAGGTAAAAAGGAATGGCACAGATTTGCATTATAGGTTAAAATATCATAATTTATTGTATTTTGTATTATTATTATGTCTTGCCTGTCCTGAGTATAACAATGGGAATAATTCTTATCACTACCTACCAACCTTTATTTTAGGCCTTCAAAACAGAAAAAAATATTTTAATGACATTGATGACAAACTATTTTTAGAAAGGTATAGACTATCTAAACAATGTGTTAAATAATTATATATAAAATTATTTATATAACCCGAAACGTCAAAAGAAAGTAAAATAAAATGTCAAATAATAACAAACTGACAAATTAAATAATACAATCACTTATCACTGTTATCACATATCTTAAAAACCAATGAGAACGTTGGAATCGAGGTAACCGCTTCGGTAACCCAACTAACGTTTTGTTTGTTTGTGTCGCAGTTGTTTGACTTGCGGATGAATATGATTCGCGTATTGACCAACGACAGTTTCACAAGATATCGGTCGATCAAAAATCTGTACTTGTCCAGGAACAACATCGCCAAGGTGGAAGCGGCCGCGTTCCGGCCGCTCGGCGGCCTGGAAGTGTTGGACATGGAACTGAACGCGTTGGCGGGCGTGCCGCCGGGCCTGCCGGAAACGTTGAAGAGACTGGACTTGAGCTGCAACCCGTTGGGCACCGGTCTGGGCCGGGGCAACGTCGAGGACGACAACGCCAGGGCCGACATGGCCCGCGATCTGCGCGAGGCCGTCAGCCTGCAGGTGCTGTACATGCGGTCGTGCTACCTGCGGCATTTCCCCCGCACGGGCCCGCTGCCGAGTCTGGTCGAGCTGGACTTGACCGACAACCCGATACGCGAGATCACGCCGTCAGACTTGGCGCCGCTCTGTCGGTTGGCCAAGTTGACCGTTAACGAAACACAACTGTTCCGGGACCGGCCGCGTGGCGTTTGCCAGTGCCGCCAGCTGAAGGAATGGGCCGAACAATACGGCGTGCAGATTATCGGCCTGGATTGCCGCCGACACGTCGAGGACGAACCGTTGGACTGCGCCGCGACGACGATACCCGGCGAGGCCGTCCAAGAGCGCGACGAGTGCATGTCCGGGTGGGAACACAGGAACGCGGCACGGTGTTGGGCGGCCTTTGGCTGGGGGGCGATGGTTCTGGTCTGCGCGGCGGCCGTTCTGTTTGGTGTACTGTGCCTGTGTTGGCGTCGCAGAAATAGCCTGGACAAAGGTCGATCCGTGCCGGACGGCGAACCCACTTATATCGCATATAGTTTTTAACGTGTATTAAAAAGTTTTTGTTACTTAATTTTATGTTTCATTTGTTTTGCCACGAACAAAATATGAATTTAACTGTGATAACAACAAGTGATAGTAATATTTTGATTAAACTTAAATTAAAAATATTATAAAAATGAAAAATAAATCAATTTTGCGTTTATACCATCCTCCCAACTTAGTTTCTTCGATAGCAACTTTTGAATTTTAAATTGTAACTCATACATTTCATTGACTTTTTAAATTGAGAATAATGTACTAAACAATTTTAATAATTCAGTTGGCTGTTGGCCACGATTGACGGCAACCTGTATAGGCAATAGAAATGCTGGAAAGTATCATAAGTAACCAACCGATAAGAATTTAAATCTATTCCTTATTTGGGTTTGAACCTAAAATTATTTGAGAATTGAGTGTACCTAATTTAAATTACATTGTAATATATTTTCGACAACTGGTTTTTGTATGATGTACTGTACTACATAATCTAATTAAACATTTTTTTTTTTAGACTAGGTACCTATTATTTTCTGAATGTTAACTATGATTACCCAATTTAATGAAATGCTTTTATTTTTTTGTGTTAGCTGTGATCAGTGTCTTTATTTTAACATTGGTAGAAATTTGATTCTTCGGCCAAACAAGAAAAACTTTTTAATCTCGGCAATATCAACCAATACATTATTATCGTTAAATGTTTGTTATCCATAAATAATAATAATTCTAAATTTTCTATCGATAAACGATGAATATTATTTAAAAAAATTATCTAATAATATGTTTTTTTTCACTGTACATATATAATTATTTTAATCGCCTTTGGATGTTCTATTTAATCGTTTCTACATAATTATGAATCAACAAATTACATGTTTAAAGAAACTGTATGACGTGTAATTCTAAGAAATGTATTAAAATTGTTTTTACATAAATAATAATTATTATCTTACCGGCTTTTATTTTAATTATTATTACAGGTTTATAACACGTTTATTTTAACTTGTTATAATATAATAATATGTTTTATGTAGAATTAAAGTAAGATCGCATAGAAACGTTTGTTTGAAAATAAACACACACACACACACACAAAAAACAACACAATTTTGATCTTAAAATTACAAAACGCAATATAACTTTTTCAAAAAGAAATACAGTCGAATTAGTTATTATATTGTGGAAAAAAAATGATATGAATATTTACTACTAATAAAACAATAATAATTATAATATCATGTTTTACCCTCCAAAGTTGTTTTTTTCAAAGGTGATCCGTCATCCGCCGCCGGCGCGCCGCCCGGTCGCAGTGCTGCCACACGGGAAACACTAAATGTCCACCCACGGGTCGATGCGGCTCGCAGCGGGTGGTCACACCGGTCGTACCGCTGATAGCCGGGCCGCCGCCGCCGCCGCTGCCGCTGCCGCCGTGTCGTTGTCGAATAGTTATTTACAATAATTTGTGGAAAAAAAAAACGCCGGCCACGTCATTCCGCAGCTGCCTCGTCCGTGTTATCTACTGGTGTACAGTTATTGTAATATATTATATTTTTTGATTCGTCGAGTATCCTATTATTTTTTACTTTTTTTTTTTTGTATTCCACATTGGTCTATTTAATCAACTACAAACGTATACGTATCGCACGGTTTTGTGTGTATTTTTTTTGTTTTCCGCTCGACACCTTCCATTCTTCTACCATCGTATTCATGTTAGCCCAGTGATACACTCATCTAAATACTTGTGTTATTAGGTACCCATTGTAACAATATATTATTGTAATAATACACCAGCAGTGGAATCCGCGTTGAAAAAAATACAATCATGAACATATTCAGACTTTGCGGCGATTTGTCGCATCTGCTGGCCGTCCTGCTGCTGCTGCTGAAAATATGGAAGACCAGATCGTGTGCCGGTAAGTCAGCCCATCGCTAGAAACGCTAATCGCTGTGCGGTGTCCGAGCAGACGCAGACGATGGGTTCATAGGGCTTGCCCGCGTCTCGTCGGCCATCGAGGACCAACATTACAACACTACTACGGACGTAAGATCCGAGGGACGGTGCAATAGAGCGTCTTGTGCTGTCTTCGATAATCTTAGTACATTTTGTTTTTAATCTTTTTTAAAAAAACAATACATTGTTAATATATATTTGCACTATTGGCCGTTTTCAGGCAGTCAAACTTAAAAATTAAATAGGTACAGTTTAATGACGCTTAAACCAAACTGGTGAGAATGGCAGTAAACAATTATTGCTGTATATTTCAAATAATGTGTTACATTATTAGCCGTGTGTGACATTTGCACGTGTAAATTAATTCTATAAAAAAAAAATGTTAATGGGATGGATTTTGAACAGCTATTATGAAGGAAAAAAAAAGGTTTAACGAATAGGCAATCAAACAAAATATATTACTCGATAAGTTGCTGTGTTTGTCATTATAGTAACAATATTGTAAACACACGTGTAAAAAAATATATAAAAATAATAAGCAGCTATAAAACAATACTGGCTAAACACATTAAACTAAATGGTATAACAAGATGTTAAAGTATATAATATTATTATATTTGAACGACTCTAAATGTGTAATTTTAGATTTTAATTTCGTTGTGAATGTATATATTTTATACACTTTTTATTAGGAACAGGCGATCATAATTAATTAGTTTTTTTTTAATTTTATTTTTAAAAAATAAACGCCTTTGAAAAGTGAATACATATTGTTAATTATATGAAAAAATATACACACATTACCAAAAGACATCGTTTCTTTACCAATTCTTAAGAAATATGTTATAAAATTAATAAAATATGATTGATTCGCCTAAACGTTGATTTTTCAAAACATGCCAAAACTAATTGCAAATATTTTCAAGCCTTTTTCGGCTATAATTAAAAAAAAAAAGATGTGTATATAATGTATAAATATATATATATATATATATATATATATTACAATTTGTTCCTAGATTCATTTCACAAAAAAAAAAGAAACTAATTCTATGTGTGAACACGTCTTGTAATATATATAAACTATAAGAGCGAGAACAAACTAGTACACTTAATAATTGTACTCGATACTATTGAAATAAATATTAAAAACTATTTTATTTTGTCAAGTTCTGTGTAATGTAAAATTAAAAAAATAAATTAACTGTTTTTTCTTTCCAGGTATATCCGGAAAAAGTCAAATTTTATTTGCAATCGTGTACACTGCAAGATACCTCGATTTGTTTACAAGTTTTGTGTCCGTTTACAACAGCGTTATGAAAGTATTTTTCCTCGCCGCATCGTACGGCACGTTGTATTTAATGTTCTTCAAGTTTAAACCAACTTATGATCACAACCACGACAGTTTTAGGTATCCAATTGTTGCGTTGCGCTTTTTTGGATTGTTGCAATTATTATATTGAAACGTTTTTTTTTTATTTTTCCAGAATATTGTATTTAATTGTACCCTCGGTTATTCTGTCGTTCGTCATAGTTCATGTGTACACCGTAATGGAGGTAAGTACTTGTGTCGAAAGTCTGTGACAATGCCTATTATTAATTGATTTAAACGCGACGATTTTATTCGACACTTAGGTACTGTGGACGTTTAGTATTTACTTGGAAGCAGTCGCCATCATGCCGCAGCTGTTCATGGTTTCTAGAACGGGCGAAGCCGAGACGGTTACTTCGCATTATCTGTTTGCGTTGGGCTCGTACAGAGCGTTGTACATACTGAATTGGATCTATCGTTACTATACGGAAAATTTCCTCGACATGATCGTGATCATTGCCGGTATTGTGCAAACCATTTTGTACTGTGACTTCTTTTACCTCTACATAACCAAAGGTATATCATTATTTATTATAATCGTAGTATTATATCGAGAAACGATTCAACATAACTTTAATGCATTTTGTTTTTTAATTTTAGTATTAAAAGGAAAGCGGTTATCGTTGCCGGTTTAAAAGTGGGAATTAAAGACTAGACCAAAGAGTCGTTGCGAGACGGATGTTTGTACAATTTTGATAATATTTTTCATTGTCTCATCGAAATAAATAGTGTATATAAATAAATAACTTGCGTTTGTGGCGATCTGTTGTTGTAGGTATTAGTCGGTATTTTTTAAAACATTTTATTCAAATAATTTAATATATAATATTTTGGCCCAAAAACTCATAAATACGGACCTCCTTAACAGCATTTGATAACAATATATTATACGTATATATATATATATGTAATATATATATATTGATATAGCATATCCTTATTCTTTTCGTGCACAATGTTTGCATTGTTATTTTATTATATTTAAAAATAAAATAAAAATATAGTCTATTTATTTGTTTTAAATAAAATAAAAATCAAACCAATCGTGTTTAAAGTTTATTATTATTACTATTAAGGAATTAAAAAATTTATAATAGTGTTTATAGTATTTATTTATTTAACAATTTTTTTCGTTTAAACTTATTTTTAAAATGAATTATTTTTGTGTTATTATTAAAATAAAATAAAATTGTATGAATTACGTTTGAAAGTTCATTGTACTGTTGACATTATTATATTTATCGTGTAAGCTTAGTTTTGTATAAAATCAAAGCTACACCGCAATATGTTATTATAGGTTTGATTTTATCAAAATATATATTGGTGCTGTCGTACGTCAATTGTCCGTTCGACGAGAGAAGACTTTGGCGCAGTAATAATTAGTGAACAGATCTTATCCCACCGTCCGCTCCAGCACACAACCTCGGAGTCTTTTCTCGGTCGCAACAGATATTGAATTACACATTTTAAAAAATATTCTCCAATTTCCCCCCCCCCCTCCCAATAAAATTCACACTTGCAGAATAAACTTATGACGAATTATATATTTTTATACTTGAAAAACGCTATCCTTATTATTAGTATAGTTATATGTTTTTCATATTATCTAACTAATTGTGTTGTAAATAACATTATCCGGATAAAAGCAGATAGTGCACTAATTTTATAATTTATTATTACTATTATTCACTCGTGATGATATTTGTGTGTTAACTAGCGTAATATTATTATATTCGTCTTAAGATTGAAAAGGTTAATTTTACATGTTGTACTTATCTATAAGAATTATATTATTATTTAATTATTGTATACGATTGCATTTTGTGAAATTATCTAAACGTTACGTTACGTAGTATGTTGATTTATAAGCACCGTCCTGAAAAATAAAAATACTATGTGCTGTCGAGCCAGCTCAAATAAATTATTAAAAAAAATTAAAATATGGTAATTATTTTCCTTTTTTTTAACATTGAAAACAAATGATAAAAATAAGCATTTTATTTTTTTTACAAATAAATTCTAACAATAGTTGTAATAATTTTAAAGTAAAATATGTAATATTGTATGTTTTAAATGATTTAATTTTTTTTTTTTTTGCTACAAAAGTATCGATGACTTTAAATGTATTTATCGGCCACACAACTATTACTATCGCAATCGACGCAATGTTTATTATTTATGAAAGCAACTACTTATAGGCTTGAAAAATTGTTATCCCTCTGTATTCACACATGTAAATCATTTCTTTCTTCTTCGTGGGCTATGCACTCAGTAAGTAGGTGCCTGATAGGAGGGTGGGTGGTACTTGCTTTTTCATGAGATGACTTACATGTGTTTGGCCTATTCTCATTCGATTGACTATGACTTCCTCTTTGCTGTTGATACCTGGGGGTTCAGGTCATACTGTACCTAACTGTTAGTGGCGATTAGTTCCTGCTGAATATGGCCAGTGTGTGTCTAAAACCGGTTTTCCACATTTGGTATTTTTTAAATGGTTTTTTTTGTACCGAGGTGAACATCCTTAAAGAATTCCACAGCTGAAGACCGTAGCTAAATGATGTTTATTTTTTTTGTTACAACAAGTATAAAGTAATACTTACTGAACGCATTACTTATCTCCTCTAGTATTCGGCATTAACAAGTCCCGGCTATCAAGATACTTCTATAATATTAGTACAATTTTTATTGAAACCTACAGCTAATCATGATAATACATTAAATATTTTTCAACTAATGTATAAGAAAATATTTTATTTTCTTGCTCAGTGTTACTTGTTTTCAAATGGACAAAGTTATCAATGTATCATGGGGTATTTTGTTAAAAGACAAAGTCTAAGCTTGCAGAATTTTCATTTATAGAGTTTGCAATTTAGAATTGTATGAATATACAATTTTTTTATTTAGCCGTATCTAATAGTATAAAATTAAAACTAAAATTGTTTTATTACGGGCAATGATTTGCACGAGTCGGTGCTAGTGTTTATATTATAAATTTCGAAAATGTGATAAAATATTGTGTAATTAAAACGAAACCACGTAGAGATATGCATTAAATGAACTTTGTTTAAAAAAAAATGTATTAAACAAACAAAATGTAGAAACGCAGAAAAAGATACAACACAAAGTATTAAACGTCTAGAAGATTGTTACAAGTATAAAGTAAAGAATAACAAGAGGACAAAAAAAGGCTTAGATTTAAATTGTAGGCAAAGACTGATGACTGATAAAGATCTGACTATTCTCCAACATGGACACGTTTTCGGGCAAAACACTTGAAACACACTTCGCACTCGCAGGGCTCATCACCAGAATGGACATGGACATGTTTTTTTGCGAGGTAAGATTTCACCGCAATAGGTTTTTGGCACACAACGCACTTGTACGACTTTTCTGCGGCATGCGTGCGTTCGTGTACTACAAGGTTTGATTTTACCAAAAAAGATTTCAGGCATACAACACATGTGTAGTGTTTCTCGCCGGTATGCATTCGTTGGTGTACAGCCAGGTGTGCTTTTTGCGTGAAATACTTCAGACACACGTTACATTTGTAGGGCTTTTTCGCAGTACGGACACATTTGTGTCCAGCCAGGTAGTCTTTTAGAGTGAAATATTTTAAACACTCGTTACATTCTTCTCCTATATGGACGCGCCTGTGAAGGGTAAGGTGAAAACTTTGCGTGAAATCCTCGAGACACACGTCACATTTGTATGTCCTTTTTTCGTTACACTCTTCTGAATTATGGACACGTTTGTGTTGGGTAAGTGTTGCTTTTCGCGTAAAATCCTTTGGACACACGTCACATTTGTACGGCTTCTCGCCAGTGTGCACTCGTTTATGTACTGCGAGGTAAGCTTTTCGTGTGAAATCCTTTGGACACACGTCACATTTGTAGGGTTTTTCGCCACTGTGAACGCGAGCGTGTGACACCAGAGTGTATTTTCGGGAAAAAGTTTTCAGGCAAACCACACATTTATAGGGATTTTCGCCAGTATGAATGCGAGCGTGTGCTGCCAGATTATATTTCATCGAAAAAGATTTCTGGCACACGACACATTTGTACGGTTTTTCGCCAGTATGCATGCGTTCGTGTATTACCAGCTGGGATTTTGCCGAAAAAGATTTCAGGCACACGTCACAAGTGTAGGGCTTCTCGCCAGTATGAATGCGTATGTGTTTTACCAGATCGGATTTCTTCGTAAAAGATCCTAAACAAACGGCACATTTGCTAGATGTTTCATTAGACTTGGGTTTTCGGTGTGAACGATTAGCCGTTGCAGTATTGTGGACGGTAATCATATGACGGAGAATTTGCTTTTTGTTAAAAAAACATTTCTTACAAAAATCGCATAGGAACGTCTGAAGTTTGTTTGAATATTGTTTGATTTTAGTTTGTGCCATTTGATCAATTTGACCATTCATTTTATTTGTAATTTCGGTTTTGTCCTGCTCTAGAACAAACAATATCGTGCCGTTCAAATAAAAATTTTTAAAAAAACATACAGTGATCCACTTATTGTGAACCACTCAATATCTCATAAAATTTAATAAGAAGTTAAAACATTTTTTTCATTTTTCTTTATAGCCCCCTCCCAACTTAGATTTTCTGATAGCAACTTTTGAAACTTAAAAGATAACGTATTTATATTATTAACTTTTTAAATGTCGAATAATATATTGATGAAACTAAGTTGTGCGGGGGATGGGTAAAAACAAAAAAAAAAACAGGAAAAATTGAGATCACATTGTATAAAAATAATTTTAATTTTTAATTGAACCCTATGAGATAACGAGTGGATGACCCTGTATTACAGCATTTATTCATTAGGTATATTTATATTTAAAATTGATTAAGCAATATTAATTTTCACAAAATTTAGTATAGCTAATTCAAGCTATAATTTTCCAGAGCTCTGACCACATTTATAACTTTAATAGTAAGGTATAATATGTATTTACCTACTTAATTATAATTAAGAATAGTTTTCAGAAATTGTTAACAGGTGATAGCTGGTTTTGAATAATTCATTTTATTTAATTATTTAATTATAAGAGTAACGCCCCGAAGGGGGCAATGAGTACAGTTGCAATACAATAAACCAAATCCTAGACCCCAGCGTATAAAGCCTGAGTAAAGCATCCTAAATCCTTAAATTCACCACAATTGCATTTAATAAACACAAGATTTTGATAGGCTTTAGCACACATTGAGTAAATATGTGTGTTAAAAGATAAGTCGGTAGACAAAGTGACACCCAAGTCCTTAACATTACTCAGTATCACGAGATTTAATTCATTGACTGTATAGTTGTATCACTATATCATTAACTTTTCTTTAATTCCAACGAATACTTATCCAAATATCTTCGGAAGTCAAATACTGGTGTCACACTCAACAAACGATTAACTTGGGCTTCTCACATTAAATCTAAAAGGAAAAAACCAAATTCAGCTACGTCTAAAAAAAATTCTGAACAAAAAATAACTACTCTTACAAACCCATACATTGTAACTCCGATTAAAGTTATAAAACTAGAGTTATCACGTCTTGGTTTCAACGCTCTACAAGTAGTCGAACTAAATTACCACTACCAATTATTCTTTATCGACTTTGAACCAAGCGATCAAAACACTAATTCTATTTAATTAAACTACATTTGTTTTAGGAGTACCACATCCTCACCGTCTCCTATACAATGGCTCGGATGCCAAGGTCAAATGAACCTTACAAATCAACTGTCATCGTTTATTAACGACTTAAAAACATTAATCAACCCGTTGAATACACTTCTCACCTTAGTCATTAAGAAAATACTTTTAAAAAATGAATTTCTCTCATTTTTATATCTGAATTGATCACCATGTTTCTCTGGAATGCAAACGGAGTAACTTAACATAAATATTAATACAAAATTTACTTTACGAACAAAAAAAAATATATCCGTTATCACTAAAACACATCTAACACTCACAAAATAAAATTTCGGGTACAAACTATACAAAACTGTCCATCCTGACCACACAGCGTATGCTGGTGCTGCAATGAAGTGCACGGGTCAGTGTTATTGTTTATATTAAAAATTTCGAATATGTGGTACACAAATTGTGTAAACAAAATAAAACCATGTGAACATATGCATTAAATAAACTAAACTTAAAAATATAATATTGTTTAACATAATTTATTAAACAAACAAAATGTAGAAATGCAGAAAATGTTACAATATAAAGTAATATAATATGTCTAAAAAAATATTTTTTTTTTACAACAATTATAAAGTAGTGAATAACACAAAGTGAAAAAAATCTTAAATTTAAATTGTCAGTAAAGACCGATGACTGATAAAGATCTGATTGTTCTCCAACATGGTTACGTTTTTGTCGATCCCGGTTTCATTTTTGAGCGAAACACTTGAAACAAACCTCGCATTCGCAAGGCTCTTCACCAGAATAAACATGTTTATGTTGTTTTGCGAGGTAGGACTTCACCGCAATAGGTTTTAGGCACTTGACACAATTGTATGACTTTTCTGTGGCATGCGTGCGTGCGTGTACCGTTAGGTTGTATTTTTTAGTAAAACGCTTGAAACATACGTCACAAGTATAGGGCTTTTCGCCAGTATGAATTCGTTCATGCTCTACCAGATGGTGTTTTACCGAAAAAGATTTGAGGCACACTAAACATTTGTGGGGCCCTTCTCCAGTGTGCGTGTGTACGTGCCTAACCAGATAAGATTTGATCGAAAAAGATTTCAGGCACACATCACAAGTGTGCAGATTTTCTCCAGTATGCATTCGTTTGTGTGCTGTGAGGTTTGCTTTTTGTGTAAAAGCCTTTGGACACACGTTACATTTGTATGGCTTCTCGCCAGTATGCGTGCGTTCGTGTCTTACTAGATCACGTTTTTCCCAAAAAGATTTCAAGCATACAACACATTTGTAGGGCTTATCTTCAGTGTGCACGGTTTCGTGAACTGCAAGGTCTACTTTTCGTGTAAAATCCTTTAGACACACGTCACATTTGTATAGCTTTTTTTCGGTATGTACACATTTGTGTCCAGCCAGGTAGTCTTTTCGAGTGAAATATTTTAAACACTTGTTACATTCTTCTCCTATATGGACGCGCCTGTGAAGGGTAAGGTGAAAACTTTGTGTGAAATCCTCGAGACACACGTCACATTTGTATGTCCTTTTTTCGTTACACTCTTCTGAATTATGGACACGTTTGTGTTGGGTAAGTGTTGCTTTTCGCGTAAAATCCTTTGGACACACGTCACATTTGTACGGCTTCTCGCCAGTATGCACTCGTTTATGTCCAGTAAGGTGAGATTTTTGGCTAAAATACTTTGGACACACGTCACACTTGTATGGCTTCTCGCCAGTGTGCGTGCGTTCGTGTGCTGCCAGTTTGGATTTTATCGAAAAAGATTTCAGGCACACAACACATTTGTAGAGATTTTCGCCAGTATGAATGCGAGTATGTGATACCAGAGAGAATTTTCGGGAAAAAGTTTTTAGGCAAACAACACATTTGTAGGGTCTTTCGCCAGTATGCGTGCTTTCGTGTCTTACTAGATAGGATTTGATCGAAAAAAATTTCAGGCACACAACACATTTATAGGGCTTTTCGCCAGTATGGAAGCGTTTGTGATCTACTAGATTGGTTTTTACCGTAAAAGATTTTAAACAAACGGCACATTTGTTAGGTGTTTCATCAGACTTGATTTTTTTGAGTAATTGATTCGCCATTTCAGTGTTGTGGGTGGTAATCATACGACGGTGAATTTGATTTCAGGTTATAAAACATTTCTTACACAAATCGCATAGGAACATCTGAAGTTTGTTTGAATATTGGTTGGTCATAGTCTGCGCCATTTGATCTATTTGTATAATCGTTTTACAGTTAATTTCGGTTAGGTCCTGCACTAGAACAAACAATATCGTGCCGTTTAAATTAAAAAGTTTATACAAATATATTACAGTAATTATTTATTAAAATATGGGTATTTATATTTTTAATGTTACTATTAAGATACTATTAATATTAAGAGATAATATTATAGTTTTGACCTATTTTAGAAGTTCAATAGTAAGGTGTATTATTTATTTACATAATTCGAATTGAGAATAATTTTCTGAAGTTGTTGACTGGTCGATAGCCAGTTTTAGTTAATTCATTTTATTGAGTTATTATTTTTATATGCACGCTATTACTCCACCGCATTACACCTCCCGTCTGGTATCAGGTAATTGAAAATACTTTCATTAATTATTGTTTATTACAATACAGTTATTTATTAGAATGTATACGGATAACTATTGTCGATAAAGTATTGTACTAAGACGATCTAATGCATATTATTGCCATGTTTTTACCTTATTACATTATTATTAAGTGATATTAATTTTTATACTCAGCCTATTATAGTGTTGTTAAAAAGTATAGTATAATAGTATTTAATAAAAGTACAAAATATATAGATATTCTAATACGGGAGCTAAATTTGTATCGACATGTCGTTCTTGTTTCAATTGTGTCTGTTCATTTTTTCACGATTTTAAACACAACGGCACAGGTGTAAGGCATTTGTTTAGTGTGCACGCTTTGGTGTCCTACCAGATCGGATTTTGCCTTAAATGGTTTTAAACAAACTCCACACTTGTAAGGTTTTTCATCAGACTTGTGTTTTTTGGGTGAACGATTAGCCGTTGAAGTATTGTGGATGGTAATCATATGACGGAGAAATTGGTTTTAGTAAAAAAACGTTTCTTACAAAAATTTGCATAGGAACGTCTGAAGTTTGTTTGAATATTGGTTGGTTTTAGTTTGTACCATTTTATTAATTTGTACATTCATTTTATTTGTAATTTCGGTTAGGTCCTGCTTTAGAACAAATAATATCGTGTCGTTCAAATAAAATAGTTTATAAAACATAAAATAGTATTTATTCATTTAAAATAGATATATTTAAAATTGATTAAGCAATATTAATATACACAGAATGTAGAATAGCAAATTCAAGGTATAATTTCCAGAGCTGTGACAACTTTTATAACTTTAATAGTAAAGTATAATGTTAATTTAATTAATTTGAATTAAGAATAATTTGCTGAAAATGTTGACAGGTGATAGCTGGTTTTGTATAATTCATTTTATTGAGTTATTTTTTTTATAAGCGCGCTATTACTCTACGGCACTACACCTCCTGTCTTTAATTTTAAACATGAGTTGATATAACTGGAAAAAAATAAAATTGTTAGTATTGTCTGATAGTGTAAAATAATACTTAGACAACTTTAGTCAAATTTTTTTTAGATAACGAAAAACCAAAAAGTTAGGTATATCGACAAATGGATCAAAGGTAATTTTTGAATTATGGCCAATGGCCAACAATTACCATATATTAATATACTGTAGACTATAAAAACTTAGATATACGCTATGTACAATATATGTATACACATCACGTGCTTGGATACTTAAGGTTCTAAAGTAATTTTTTTCAAAAATAGAGAGGTATGAAAGAATTAAAGTGAGGTGCAGTGTTTACAAATTAGCATTAAAGCGTTTATTTGAAAGTGATTTTAACCGAGAGTACTAGTACTGTAGTATATTTTAAACCGAGTTAACAGTCATAAGTTCTAAATAATCAGTCAAGCTAAAAGTTAAGTTAACAAAAATACCAGTAACCTAACTGAAGTTCAATTAATTGTTATCATTTTGTTTTTAATTACCTCTGCAGAGGCGTCTGTAATATCCAGAAACCACATACTGACATATATCCCAACCCCGAACACTTAGAAAAGGTTAATGTTTCTATCAATAGCCTTCATCGAATGTCATTACCTGCAAAACATACTCACCAAGTGAAATCAAATTTTTAATAAATAAAGAAGGGAATCACCAGGACCTTAAAGATACAAAACCCTAAAAAATTTGCCAAAAAAAAGTATTGCTCTAATAACTTATATTTTAACTGTATGCTGCGAATTTCTTATTCTTCATTAATATGAATAATATAGAAATTATCCACAACAATTGTAATTATCAATCCCAAAAAATGAAATTACTTCCTATAGACTTATCAGCTTGATTTCACCTCTTGCCAAATTGTTTAAGAAAAATATACTCATAAAAATAACAGCAATCTTACACACCCACAACATAATTCCTTATTCCCAACTTGGCTTCAGATCCATTATGGATGTACATAATGGATTTGGATGTAGCATAGGCCTTCGACCGTGTATGGCATGAAGGCTTACTCTTCAAACTCAAATTGTTTCTACCTGCCCCATATTACTTAATAATTCGTTCTTATTTAGAAAATAGGAGTTATAAAATCAGATATGGCAATTCATTTTCATCATACCACCAAATTAAAGCAAGAGTGCCCCCAGACAGTGAATATTTAATGTTTTTACGGCTGACATTCCAATAACACCAAATACTATTATGGCCACTTATGCAGATGACACTGTAATACTCTCCCCAGGAAATGATCTTGAAGTTACTTCCAATTTCCTTTAAACAAACTTAAATCTAATTGATTTCTGGTCATCTAATTGGAGAATTAAACATAATCGAGAGAAATCTGTGTACGTTTCCTTTACACTAAAAAAAACCTGTTCCATCGCTCTCCAATTCCAAGGAATAATCATCCCAATATCCTCGGAAGTCAAATATTGGTATCACGCTCAACAAACGATTAACTTGGGGCTCTCACATTAAATCAAAAAGAAAACTTCTCAACAGCAGACTCCACTTACTACGCCCAATCCTCAAATTACACAAGACACACTGTTTAGAGTTGTTTTTCGAAACTTACAGCATACTACTCCGATTGACGATATAAAAATAGAGTTATCAAAAGCATCAGATAAACCTTCCAGATGTGCTCTATGCCAAATATAGCACTTCTCCGGCTATAAAGGATGCACAGTTAACAAGGATCTTATAAAAATACCAAATTCAGCTACGTCTAAAATAATTCCTGAACAAAAAATAATTACTCCGACAAACACAAACATTGTAAACAAATCTCTAGGTCACACCTCACAATAAGGGTATCCTCAACCTCACACATAAAAAATCTACGCTATAGCAAAAAACAACAAAAACAACCAAGACACAACAAATCTTACAAATCAACTATCATCGTTTACTAACGACTCAAGTCAGTCATAAGCAAAATACTGTTTAAAAATAATTAACTCTTATAATAACTTATCTTATCTAACCACCATACTCCTTTAGAATGCAAATGGAGTAACTCAGCATAAAAATGAACTACAAAATTTACTTTACGCAAAAAAAAATAGACATTGAACAAAACTGGCCATCCTTACCGGACGGCACATGCTAGTGCTGATACCCAGCTACCAAAATGACCTAATACCCAGCTACCAAGATAAGAATTATACCTGTAATATTAGTAAAATTTGTATTAAAACCTACAGCTATTCATGATAATATATTAAATACTTTTCAACCAATGTATAACAAAATATTTAACTATCAAGATATAACTATTATACAAGACAAACTTATCTTTTTATATTTAGAATTTAGAATATCACTATGTTTTATTTAGCCGTACCTAAAAATATGAAATAAAATCTAAAATTCATGAAGTGCACGGGTCATTGCTAATGTGTAAATTATTAATTTTAAATATGTGATATAAAAATTGTGTAAGCAAAACAAAACCATGTAAACATATGCATTAAATAAACCAAACCTAAAATAAAATATGAATTTATATAATTTATCAAACAAACAAAATGTAGAAATGCAGAAAAAAGTACAATTTAAAGTAATATAATATATCTAAGAGATATTTTTTTTTACAACAAGTATAGAGTAATGAACAACACACAAGACAAAAAAAAAATCTTAGTTTTAAAATGTAAGTAAAGACTGATTAAGAAATTATGACTGATAAAGATCTGACTGTTCTCCAACATGGTCACGTTTATGTCGATCCCGGTTTTATTTTGGAACACTTGAAACAAACCTCGCATTCGCAAAGATTTCCTCCAGAATGGACATGTTTATGTTTTTTTGAAAGGTAGGATTTCACCGCAATAGGTTTCAGGCACTTGACACGCTTGTAAGACTTTTCTGTGGCATGCATGCGTTTGTGCAATGCGATGCTTGATTTTTGTTTAAAACACTTTAAACAAACTTCACATTTGTATGGCTTCTCGCCAGTGTGTATGTGTTCATGTTGTACCATGCAGGATTTAACCGAAAAAGATTTCAGGCACACAGCACATTTGTAAGGCTTTTCTCCAGTGTGCATGCGTCCGTGCGTAACCAGATGAGTTTTTTTCGAAAACGATTTCAGGCACAAGTCACAAGTGTAAGGCTTTTCTCCAGTATGCGATCGTTTGTGTACTGCGAGGTTTGCTTTTTGTGTAAAACACTTTAGACACACGTCACATTTGTATGGCTTCTCGCCAGTGTGTATGCGTTCATGCTGTACCAGGCAGGATTTAACCGAAAAAGATTTCAGGCACACAGCACATTTGTATGGCTTCTCTCCAGTATGCCGCCGTAAGTGCTATAGCATATTAGATTTTTCCTTAAAGGCTTTGTAACAAACGGCACATTTGTAAGGATTATTATTAGTGTGCACGCTTTGGTGTCTTAACAGGATGGATTTCGCCATAAAAGACTTTGAACAAACGGTACATTTGTAAGGTTTTTCTTTAGTGTGCACTCCTTCGTGTATTGCGAGGATTCCTTTATTTGTAAAACGTTTTAAGCACATAACACATTTGTATGGCTTTTTTTCAGTACGGACACATTTGTGTCCAGCCAGGTAGTCTTTTTTGGTCATATATTTTTAACACGCGTTACATTCTTTTCCGATATGGACACGTCTGTGTAGGATAAGGTCAGAACTTTGTGCAAAAAACT